TTACCTGTGCATTAAATTTAATTGCACGTTTATTATTGTACGAACTTAACCTCTATCTGCTTCATCATTCTCGGTAAAAATGTCAGTAGTCATCACGTGACCAAAAAGTCGTTAAGCCATTGGCCAAGATTGAGATTAAAGATTGAAAAAATAGACGGAATTCTAATTTCCAAAATTCAATTTCAATCTCAGTCTACTGTGCTGTCATTGGCTGAGCTTCAACCTCAATCTTAATCTCAATGTTAATCTCAATCTCCAATGCGTAGTCTGATACCGGCTTAAAGCCCCATATCAGATTAAAGATTGAGATTGAGATTGAATTGGGATTTAACCAATTAGAAGAAAGAAAACCAATCTCGAATTTAGTGAACTTTATTTTAATTGGTCAAATTCCATTTCAATCTCATTCTTTAGTCTGATACGGGCTTTAGGGTGCGTTTCCACTGAGCGCGTCACTCGAATTAACCAATCAAAACATCCCATTTTATTGCGTAATTTGCCGCGCGATCCGGAATTTTATACAAAGGAAGATTCTTTTTATCTCTAAAATGTCGAGTACACTCCCTCCTGTATCTTTTTACTCATTGCGTGGGAGCTGCCGCCTATCTAGAAGAAAAAGAAGCAATAGTCCAAAAGAGAGGATCGATTCGACCTGATAACTGATTCGACCGCGAGCCACGGTCTGAGATGGACGTCTGTGGCAGAGTGATTCTGGAATCTCCTAGAATTTTCACGGCATAATATCTCATGTCCATTCATCCAAGTATATAGGGGCCGTCCATATATTAATTACGTAAGTATATTTTTGGCCATTTTGTACCCCCCTCCCCCCCCCCTTCACCATGTAAGCAAATGTCAGAATTTCTGAAACCCCAATTACGTAAACCCCCCCCCCCACCCGTGTATTTATTTGTCAAAATTTGACTGACCCTCTCCCAGTCATGCTTACGTATATAATGACAACCACACCCCTAATGAAACTAATGAAAGCACTAAAGCAGCCAAGTTCCGGCGGGAGTTCTGGCGCAGTTTTGGGCGCATGCGTTGAGCGGCGACACGTCGAGCAACGAACAGCTGATGGTGCCGCAGCGGCTGCAGGTGGCACATCAACTGATCAACGTCCGCTGCCGGTGCCGAACACTGACGAGGGCACGGAGGAGTGTAGCACGAGCGCCTGAACCGCGGAGAGACGAGTGGAAACCCATACACCACCACCTCCTCGCGCGGCGAGACGAGTGGGATTCAGTGAGCATACATCACAGTCTCCTGGCGCGGTGAAAGGAACGGAAATCGGTAGTGATGAATGTACATCCATCAGGTGTATATTGAATACGAGAAGGCGTACTGCTAAACTCGAAGGGGGCTCGCCATTAAATGATGTTTCCAAGGTAATAACCTTCAGGTAACGACTGCCTTGAAACCTCGTCAAGACCTCGTCAGGGAATCTGAAATTCATAGGCAACTTAAAGAAGATGATGATGACCTCATCAAAACTCTAAACTGATCTGGACTGATTGCACATAGGTCATAAGGGTGAGCCACAAATAGTTCATATGGTGAGTGTAATGTATGAACTATTTGTGGCTCACTCTTGTGGCCTCTCTTCAACCATCTTCGACTCCATCCTGGACATTGTAGCATTCAATTAGCATGTTATTAGAATCTCGCTGCTGAAGCTTGACGAGATTGTGAGAGAAAAGACAATTAGGAGTCTTTCCTCTCACAATCTCGTCAAGTTCTGGCAGCGTTTCCTATGCAAAGTTTCCTAACTTTAATCGGTCGAAATTAAATAACGTCGTTTCAGATTTAACATTGTAAAAATATCCGCAATGCAGACCTTTTATTACTTTTATTACATTGCATATCAATTGAAATGAACATGAGATACTGTTTGGTAGAACATCATATTTTGAAATATGAGAATATATAGATCTTTTTAAATAAGTAAAGTGTTAATCTTTTTATAAGCATACTTAGATTTATATTTTCGATACGTATATTATTAGATCATACATATAATTAACATATAATTGCCAATGGCGATTCAAAAATATTATACCTTTAGTGACGAGAAATAATGTCGATGCGGCAGATTATCGAATGTTGGCTTACCACGAGGATGACGCATGACGCGCTCAGTGGGAACGCACCTTTATGCACACTGAGAAAAAAATTTATTGAACGAACTAAATTTGTATAGTTGTTTGATCCAATAGTTAAATTAACAATTCTTTAGTTGCACAAAGAAAGGTATAGTTCATTCATGTCAACTATCAAAAATTTTAAATTAAGAATTACCTGAACCAACTCAATTAAATTATTTTGTTCGAAATACTAGTAGTATTTATTTGTATTTGCATGCTATTTAGTTATCCAAGTAATATATTTGTTTAAATTCCAAGTATTAAACTGACTAAACGATGTTGTTGGGGATAATAAATAGTGTATATTTTGAACAGAAGGTTGAGTTAAATACGATAAATTTTTGTTGAAACAAAATAGCTAAAAAATAGTCTTTTGTTTATAGTAATAACAAATTATCTTGTGTCATCGTAGTAACGTTTAATTGAACGTATCGGACTAAATATTTTGGTAAAATAAAATAAATTTTGCATTTTTCAACCAATTTTTTTTCTCAGTGCAGCGTTATGCAAAAGTCTGTGTCTCGGCCTTTAAGGTGGGAGCACAGATTTTGATATACATAAGTGTCGGTCCACAATAAGGATGGGAAGGAGGAAGGTCCACATTAAGCCTTAAGTCGTAAGAAATAAATCAATCGTAGTCGAATATAAGAAGAATAATCGATTGTAATTGGTCGATATCTTACGGCGTAAGGCTTTAAGTCCTTATTGTGGACCGACACTAACGCTGCATAAGTCCCAAAACACAATAGCTGCGTTCCGCAAAGCGCATCATGCGCATGATATATCATGGTGTCCTTGTTGTTCATCAAATGTTAAACAAAGATAAAAAGATAAATCTTGCGCATGATGCGCTTTGCGGAACGCAGCCAATAGATGTAGTAAGCCTTAAGCCGTAAGAAATTGACCAATCATAATCCATTATTCTCTTAAAATTCAACTGCGATTGGTTAGTTTCTTACGGCTTAAGGCTTACAACTCCTATTGTGTTTCGGGACTTACGCACAAGACATAAGGCATAAGAAAATCAACCAATCAGAGTACGAAATGAAGGACTCTGATTGGTTGATTTTCTTATGCAATATATCTTTTGCGTTATGCAAAAATCTGTGCTCTCGACTTTAAAGTCCGGGGCACATAAAGTGCATAATGCGGCATAAGCATGGCATAAGACGGCTAGACCAATAAGAATCTTATATAAATCAGTATGGCGACTTTATGCTGGCTGCTCATTGGTCTAGCCGCCTTATGCTATGCTTATGTCTCATTATTCATTTTATGTGCTCCAGACCTAACAGCTCCAGAACATTCAGTAAAGAACGATTATCACGATTCATCGATTGATCGAGATTCAAAATTGTATCAAATGAGTAGTCCGTGTAATTGCCAATCAGCTGTCGCGGGTAACAAGAAGACTGAAACGTGATTGGCTACGCGTCTAATTGCATGCGAGAGTCGTGCGTTGCGTATCCACACTTTACGTGTGTGTTCGGAAATAGGACTGAAGAATCTGTCGCAAAGGAAAGAGTCCGTTCTATGCAATTTACATAATTCAGGTCTGAATTGAAGATAGAATTTATTTTATTTATGCCATGCTAACGTCAGCTTTTGGAGCATATTAACTCCAATTTTAAGTAAGGAGTTAGTAGCCAGGATATAGAAAGCCGTCTCCTTCTAAAGAAGAAAAAGAAGAAGTGAAATATCGAACGTTTAATAAATCAGAATTATGTATAAAATATATATAAGTATACATGTCAAAAGATCACACATCGAAATACGCACGTACGGCATACGAAATCATGAATAACTCGCATAGAAATCTAGCTCTGTAAGCAGTTCCGCCGGATTGAATCGTAAGTTTAATCGGAGTTTGATCTGGTTTGATCGAAGTCATTCTAGGGCCCCGCGTTATAACCTTCGCAAGGTGCAGGAGGAAGGGAGGGGGAAGGGGAGGTATCAAACGAGTCAAAAGCATCCCGAAATAGGAATAATTAATCTCATAATTAGAAGAGAGAGAGAGAGGGAGGGAGAGAGAGAACGTTTTAAGAAAAACAAAAAATGACATTACCGATCTAACTGTAGGCGAAACGCGGCGTTTGCGCGTCCAGGAGCGCGTCGACCCTGCTCAGCTCCGCTCTGCTCGCGCGAGCGAGTTTACGAGCGCACGGGGGATGCGCAAAGTGCGTCTCGCGTGCGCGACGAGTAGAGTGTAGACACGGCTAGCCAAACACGCTCAGGTGCGCCAAGGGAGTCAAGAAAGAGAGCGCGAGAGAAAGAGAGAGAGAGAGAAGGCGAGTGTGAATCGCGCGTGCCGCGACGGGTCAACAAGCGAGCGAGAGAGAGAGACAGGGAGAGAGAGAGAGAGACGTAGAAAAACTCGGCCCGTTTCATCACGTTTTCGCAAAGCCGGAGAGCCGTCAGCGGTGGCGTGAACGACGGCGGGACGACGGTCGAGAGGACGATCGGTTCGATAGCTCGACACAGAGCTGAACCCAAGCTCGGGACGTCAGGGACAGTTCAGTCGGGACGCCCCGCGCGCCGTTGCGCACCGTCGTTTGGAAGACGTTAACGAGAGAGTTTTACGCGGAGGAGTCCCGGGCCTGGCAGAGCGCAGAGAGAGACACAGAAATCGCGCCGTCGTGAACTGAATAATAAGGGTCCGTATAGGTTCCGGCGTGAGGAGTGAGACGGAGGGACGAGCGAGAGGGACGAAAAAGAGCGTGGAAGAAGTTAACCAGAAGTGGCGAGGCGAGGAGAAAGAGAGAGTGGGAGACAGAGAGAGGTAAAGGAGACACAGAGAGAGAGAGAGAGAGACACGCAGCGGGATTTGCTGATTCCCGGACGCAGTGCGACCGTGGGGATCGTCGACGGCGCCTCCGACCTCCGAAGGATCTCCCCCTCCCCCTTCCCCTCCTCCCCCCCCCGCGACGAGGAATGGCTCATCGAGGACGCTCGAGCAACCCAACCTAAAAAGCGAGCGCCCGAGAGAAGCGCCTTCGAGGTTATGTGCCGCTGAGTGAAGGAGGGGGGCCCCCCGCACGACGACGTTCTCGCGCGGCCCAAGTAGGTGCAAAGAGAGAGAGAGAGAGAGGGAGAGAGAAAGACCGCGTCGTTGAGTTCGCGAAACGGAGGACGCGACCTGGGTGCTCTCGTGGTTGACGACCTGCCGAGGATGCCGTGTCGATAAATAAAACGCCGGGGGATCGCGTATCGATCCGGGGCCTCGCGAGGTGGCCTCCGCGACGTTCACGCGACGTGTGTGAGAGAAAGAGAGAGGAGATGCGTCCTCGTGCAACGATCCGTAGCGCGAGTTGTCAAGGTTCCGCTTCTCCGAGTCGTCAACCTCTCTAACGTGGTTTCGCGCGCGTGAAACGCGATGAACGAGAGCGCGAGAGGGGAAGGAATCGCTAAAGGGATACTCGTGACCGAACTAGTCTAAGTTACGGCGTGTTGGGAGAGAGCGCGATCTTTACTTCGCGGTCGCTGAAACCGATCCTCTCGGATCATGCCGATCGTCGCCGCGTCGCTGACGGTGGGAGGGAGGGCGTATCTAAACACCTGACGACTCCCGTTTCGACAACGAATTCGCCTATTTTTGCAATTGAAGTTGATTACTTTTTAAGTGATGAACCGAGTGACGTACGAGGGATTGTGTCGCGCCGCCGCCGGCTTGCAATTTGATTTGTGTGAACGCGCATTACGCGGTATTTGTTTTTCGCGCCCGACAGACCCAGAGCGCGTCTCGCCGAGAGGTGCGAATGAAAGCTCTACGCCGCCGGTCGATTTATCGCGACTGTATAATAATAACCTGACATTGTTGTAAAGTTTTGAATAAATGTTTACGACAGACGTTCGTGTGAATGGATGATGCTCGGAGGCGATGAACGGCATGGAGAGGCATGGTCATGGACACGGGCACTCGCACGCGCACTCGCATCGTCATCGCCATTCCCATGGCAGCTCTCAGAGCACGTCGCAGAACTCGACGAGCCAGAACCCGTCGTCGAAGCACGGCCACGGACACGTGACGCATTCGCAGAAGGAGAGCACGACCGCGCCGCCGCCGCCGCCGCCGCCGACCCCGACCCCGAAGACCCAGAGGAACTTCAAGCTGCTCGTGGATCCGTTTCTAGTTAAGGGAGCTACAAGACTGTGTAGATACGATGGGACCGTGCCGGGGGATCCGACGTACCCGCAGGTCCAGCCCCGGGATCCCAGATCTCAATTGACGAGGATCTGGACGCGGCTCGAGCAGCTCGACCTGCCTGTACCTAGGTTTAAGATCGACTCCAATTACTGCGGCGAACCGCCGCCGCTGGAAGTGACGTTTTGCCATTTGAACGACAATATCGACAAGATATTTTTGACAAACATGGTGCAGAAATTCGGCTCCGTGGAGGAGCTCACTATTTATTACCATCCGTTAACCAACAAGCATCTCGGCATAGCGAGGGTGGTGTTCGAGTCGACCAAGGCGTCCAAGGCGTGCGTCGAGAAGTTGAACAATACGTCTGTGATGGGGAAGGTGTTGAGGGTGTTCCTGGATCCCTTCGGGGAGGAGTGCAAGAAGATGTTCGAGGAGCTGACCGTGGAGAAGAAACCCGTGGAGAAGAAGGTGCAGGAGAAGGAGATACCGAAGCGTGAGATACCAGAGGTGTCAGTCGAGCCGGAGAAGCACCAGACGCCGGTGGAGAAGCCCCTGCCCGCTGAGGAGAGGGACGACTTTAGAAATAGTAAAAAGGCTATTCTGAGTTCTATAGAGAAGAGCAGCAGAGAGCCGTACGTGGAGAATTCGAGATACAACAAGTACAGGGACTATCCCACGCCGAGCGGCAGTACGGGCAGTGATTTGGGCTACGGAACGGCGCCCAGTGAACTGAACTATTCTAGCAATTATTCGCAAAATTCCACCCCGGCCACGAATTACGACTTCTACTACAGCAGTTATCACCATCAACCTCCGAGTAGCTACTTACCCAGTATCCCGCAGAACGTACCGTCGCAGAGCATGCCGATTCAACAGAACTCGAACGTATGGTGGAGCAACAACTCCGGATCATCGGCTGGATACTCGAGCTCGACCTCCGTCTGGCCGATTCAACCGCACGCGACGAATCTGGACGGTGCCGGTTCTAACGTGACGCCGATTAACAACAAAACCTCCAGCGCGAAAACGCACAGCACGCCGAAGAAGGAAAAGGAGAACCAGACGACGACGACGACGACTACGACTACCACCACGGCGAAGAGCACGCCGCGTGATTCTCCGGACGAAACGCGCAAGACCCTGGATTTAGATACGAGAATCGCCATGTTGCTGAAGGACAAAGCGGGCGGAATGGCACCGCCTTTCCTACAGTTCGGCAGCGACTCGGAGGACGACAAGAAATCGCAACATGGTGATAACGAGATGCTGTCGGAGCCACCGAGTCCCTTCCTCTCGCGTGAAATATACCAGCAGTGCTTCGAGAAAATAGCAGAGAGGAACAAAGAACGGAGGAAAGCACACGAGAATAGCATTAGTCAGTTTTCCGTGGACGAGGACTTGGGTAGTGTCATAAGTTCCAGCGAGGACGAAGCGTTGTTGGGGAGTTACAGCCCGGCACCCGACGACAACGAGCCGGAGCCACCTAAGGAACCACCTCCGCCGCCGCCGCCCGACGACGACAGAATGTCCCTGAGTCCTCTGAGTTCGGGGGACGAAAAGATCGAGGAAGTGAGATTCCGTTTTATATGCGTGAAAAATGTAGTATTCATTGCTGTATACATGCCTATTTCACTTACGAATACTTTCTCAATTAGGTAATAGCGCAGACTGAACCTTCGAATCAACTGTACCCGGCAGCTGGTTACCCAGGACACTTGACACACTATCCCTCTAATGACGTTTACAATTGGCCACGACCGACGCAGTATCCGTATCCCTATGGAGCAACCTACCTGCAGAGCCACTATCAACCCAACACGGCGTCCTTTTCGGCAACAATTGGAAATCATCAAGGGGCAAATTATTATTCCTCCTTTCAATCTCGGCTACATGCCATGGCGAACTATAACATCACAAAAGATCCGCAGGTGAGATTTTATTGTTGCATCTGATGGATCTGAAACTTTGCATGTTGTGCCGCGATTGATTCGTTCGAGAAACTGTTTGAAATATTTCTATTTAGGGACCTACCATCAATGGAGTGTTGAGCAGAGTTGTGAATGAACTGAAGCAAATTCTAAAGAAAGACTTTAATAAAAAGATGGTGGAGAACACGGCGTTCAAATTGTTCGAAGTTTGGTGGGACGAGAAGAAGTCGGAGAAGAATCAAACTCAGGGTAGCGGCGATAATATCATTGTCAATAATACAGTGAAAGAGGACGTGAAGTCGCAAGGGTTGTCATCGTTATTGGAGCAAGCAACACCGCTGGGATTCAATTACGATGGTTTTGGTTTGGGTATTAGAGCTAGTATGCCAAAGATGCCTTCATTTAGGGTAAAATAATTTTATATTACTGTTTATATTTTTCTTCAGTAACGTTGAACGTTATTGTACATATTTATTTTGTGTTTTGTATACAGCGCAAGATCAAAGCTCCAAGCCCATTACCGCAAGATGAGGACAGCCGGCAATCGGGTCACGCCGATATGGAAACGATTGAAAGCGACAGTGATCTGGATATACCGCCCGTACAAAAACCGAAGAAACCACTGACTTCTCTTCCAACCATCTCCTCCTCGTCTACCACGTCTTCGTCGGTCGAAAGTAGTAGCGAGGAAATTAGCTCCAGTGAATCTTCCGATAGTTCAAATGAAAGTTCCGATGAAGAAGCTTGCTTCGAGGATGAGGTGCGTATAGAGCGTGAATGAGTGGAAAATTAAAAAAAAAACGCAACAGATTGAACAAGGTATGCTAATTAAAATGGATTTGTTTTTAGCAAGATACAGATAGCCGAATGTCCGACCATAGACCTTTGGCTTGTAATAGCGACGATCCTGATATACTGATGGAACTCGCGATCCAAAGGTCCCTAGACTGTCCCACGCCGACCGGCAGGGAAACGCCGGTGCCGGATATCAAAATTAAAGATCAAAATTCGAACGAATTCCCGCAGATTGACGATGACAATCTGAGCGATTCGTTACCTTCTTCCGTAAGATACGAAAGCGTCAAAGAAGAGGAGAGAATTGCCGAGAAGTTGCCCGTGGTCGAGGAGAAACCGTTCGACGTGTGCAGAACCTTGGACAAGGAAGTGAAGGACGTGCCGAGAATCACCGAGGACAAGGGAACGCAGAGCGACGTGAAACTCGCGCCGACGGTGATAACGTCGGCAATAAAGGAGGAGGCGTTACCGGATATGCAAAAGATGGAAAATTCGGCCGCGGAAGCTCTGATGACTCTAGCTGGGCATGATAATATTATACGGCATAGAAGTCCGGGTCCTGTACAGCCGAACATTATTCGAGCGTTGCAGACAATGTCGACAAAATACATCACTGATGAACCCATCTTGAAGGACAACGAGAAGATCGAAATGTTCAGCGAGATTCCTACAACCGACTCGGAGGAGGAGAGCTTAGAAATCAGAAGACTAAGGTTGGTTAAACGAGTTTTCATCAAGTAATGATTTTTCTACTAATTGTAGTAATCAATAATGGTATAACAATCAATATTATAATATTCTCTACAGGTATCAAGCGGAGACCGAGCTTCGATTGAACGGGCAGCGGACACCAAGCTCGCCTGGTTCTCAGGCTTCGCAGGTGTACATGGAACATTCGTATTCGTTGCCGCCTGCACAACCGGAGCCTGCGGAGCCGGTGATACGCGTACCGCCAGCCGCGATGAAAGTGAAACATCCGAAGATCGTCAAGTTGACAAAATCGAAGGATAATACTCATAAAATTGAGAAGCAGAAATCCAAGAAATATACGAAAGTGCACAGCGGTCATCAGAATCACGTGGGAGAGAAGGAGAATATCCGAAATGACTATATATACGACAAGCTTCCTAAGCAGGTCCCAGAGCCGACCGTCACGTACAAAGAACGAGATCTCATGTCAGAAATGGCTATTTTGTACGAGTTTTTAACTAGGGGAATAGACGCGGAGGACGTAGAGTATTTGAGAAGAAGTTACGAAGCTCTATTGGCGGACGATACTCAAGGTTACTGGTTGAACGACACGCATTGGGTCGACCACCCGCCGACGGATGTACCGAGCCCTGCGAAAAAGAGGAAACGGGACGAACTCCGATTGCACGCGAGTGGGAGCGCTAGAACGGAAGGATATTACAAAGTTGACATCAGGGAGAAGGCTAAGCATAAAGTAAAAAAATTAGATATGTGATATCATTTACAAGATGCTCGTTTTTTTTTTTTTTTTTTTTTTTTTAGAAAATTTAAAGTTTCAGACGTGCATATATCGTTTTAATATACTATTTTTTGTCAGTTGACATCATGGAGAAGATTAAACATAAAGTACAAAAATTAGACATACCATTTACAATATACTCATTTTTCTAAAGAAAATTGAAAGTTTTAGACGTACATATATCGTTTTAATATACTACTTTTGGTCAGTTGACATCAGGGAAAAGGCTAAACATAAAGTAAAAAAATTAGATATATATTATTTACAAAATGCTCGATTTTTTTTTAATTTGAAGTTTCAGACGTACATATATCGTTTTAATATACTATTTTTTGTCAGTTTTATGAGGAAGAAGGCTAAACATAAAGTAAAAAATTAGAAATATCATTTACAAAATGTTCATTTTTCTAAGAAAAATTTGAAGTTTCAGACGTGCATATATCGTTTTAATATACTATTTTTTGTCAAAATCTTTTGTCAAAATAGGAAGGCAGCAAATAATTTTCTTGTTTCTTTTCTTTGTTCTTACAGCATCATTATGCTCAAAGCATACAGCGCAGCAACGACGTGGAGGACAGCGGCGGCTCTTACATCGGTGGTGATGGCGTGATGAATGGTCCAAAGAATAATTCTAAAGCGTTGACCGGCAAGATGCAGGCGTTGTCGCGCGAGGCACGAAGCAATCAACGTCGGCTGTTAACAGCTTTCGGAATTGACACGGACAGTGATCTCCTTAAGTTTAATCAATTAAAGGTAGAATACGTAATTCAACATCTATTGATAATATCGCCGATGATTCGTGTACGTTCTTCCTTTAACAAGTGAATCTCTCGTGTTCCAGTTCCGTAAAAAACAATTGAAATTCGCTAAATCTGGTATTCACGATTGGGGCTTGTTTGCCATGGAACCAATCGCGGCCGATGAAATGGTCATCGAGTACGTTGGACAGATGGTTAGACCGGTTGTGGCCGATCTACGAGAAGCTCAATACGAGGCCACGGGAATCGGTAGTTCTTACCTCTTCCGCATCGATTTAGATACTATTATCGATGCGACAAAGTGCGGCAATTTGGCGAGGTTCATAAATCACAGTTGCAACGTGAGTTACTTAAGATTATCCATTTTTTTTAATCTTGACTGGCTGTATATATATAATTCTGTATGCATGTGAAAAAGAGAAAATTTTAATCTGAATTGAAATTTGATGACTGGAATTTTTCACTTATAACGAAGCGCAATATTATAATTAATCTCGAAGTGAGAGAGGCAGAGGTAATATATATTTTATTGTAATTATCATATATCTTTTTGTTTTTAGCCGAATTGTTACGCAAAAGTAATCACGATCGAAAGCCAAAAGAAGATCGTAATCTACAGTAAACAACCGATAGGAGTTAATGAAGAAATTACTTATGATTATAAATTTCCATTGGAGGAAGACAAAATTCCTTGCCTTTGCGGAGCTCCTCAATGCCGTGGTACCCTCAACTGAATCATTCATTCTTTTTCCTGTCTTCTACACTTCATCATGCCCTACTCATATTTTTGTAAATATTTCCCCATGTAAACATTTTATAAAAATGCAATGGAAAAATGCTAAATTATGTTAAGATGCGTTCTTCCTCCTTTACTATGAGACCCCCTCTGTGATTTCGACATTTTGGCAAAGCGAGATAGATGTATCAATTATATTACACTACACCGTGTGTGTTAGAATTGTTTTGCAGCGTCTCACTTTTGTATTTATCGTCGATCGCTAGATATGTTAACTTGATAGATGACATTAACAGAGATACAGCTGAGATTGTATTTAGTGCAATCATACTTGCAAATTATAAGCAATGTAAATATTCTTTGTGTATTATATACAGAGTGATTTTCAATTGTACGTCGATAATTTAGAGTGAATTCGAAATGTAAAATGAGAGAGGAATGTATGAACATAGGTTTAAGTTTTATTTTCCAAATTATAATAAAAATTTAAGAAAATATATTAAATATTATATCATTTCATTTAAAATAACATCTAAAAATACTTAATGCAAATTCGCTTTTTAGATTAATAAAATATAAATTTAATTATTACAAATATAATTAAATATATCTATTAATGCAGATATTTTATTATATGCATAATAATAATGTTATACATTCTACGTCATTTTTTATTTTGTTTCTCTACGAGAGGTATCTTATAAAGTTAACAGATTAGCGTCACAGCGCATTCGAAACTCTGCTTATACCTGCTTATAATTTTTTATCGGAAAAGGCATTCTCAAAAAAATAATTTCAGAAAGAAAACTACAGAGAACCATAACCTCTGTACACTTTCGCGTTTTCAGCGCTCTAAATAGCGAAACACGCATTTAGGTTTCCTATCCTTTCTCGCAAATTCTAGGGAATTTCAAAAAATTACGATTGCCTATTCTGTCGCGAAAAGAGCAGGTAACCTAAACGACAGTTTTTCAAAATTCCCTAGAAACCGTCGAAAAGGGTAGGAAACCTAAAAGCGTCAAAACTGGTCAACGACCAGTCAAGACGGTGTTGAATGCGGTATTACAGGTTATGATTCTCTGTATTTTTCCGTGATTGTTGTTTTCGAACGTATTTTCCAATAAACAGATATAATCAGAGTTTCGTATATGTATATTGTGACGTGATTGCACGGAAAATAAACTTTCAATCAAATTTTTCTTTAAAAAGCGCTGAAATTCTTCGGATGTCAATGACAGATGGTAAACTTTTCCCTTGAGTGTTACAAGAGGTTATCCAAATTAATTGCGAATAATCTATTATCGTATCAATTCGGCATCATGGCAGACCGCCTGACACAATTGCAAGACACTATAAACCAGGTAATGCAATTTTTTTTCTGTTTTACTGCTTCCTTTATATTACTATTAACTATAATGTTGTTAACTAACTCAACTGTTGATCTTGTGATAGCAAGCGGAGCACTTTTGCAACAGTGTCGGTATCCTACAGCAGTATTCTACGCCCAGTAAATTTCCTGGTTTCGATCGCATCGGCACCCCGCAGCCACATCAATCTCAAGAAGGTTTTTACATTTTTCGATGCATATTGATAACACAACTAATATGAAACAAACGTGTAGATTACAAATTGTTCATCTGTTTTCAGATTATGCCGCCTTATTTGCAAATCTCATTGCAAGGTGCGCCAAAGATATAGACACGCTAATTGAGAGTTTGCCGAGCGAAGAGTCGTCGCAGGAGCTGCAGGTAGACAGTCTCCGCAGACTCGAGCAGGAGAATCAACAGGCTGGCGAACAGCTGGAGGAGGTGGTGAGGCAAGGTGAGGCGCTTCTTCAGCGAATCCAAGCGGCTCTGCAGGATATCGCGCAAAGCCAATTGGATATGCAGAATCCCACGTCGACGACTGTAATCAACATGAATCTTAGCACTACCAATATAAATATAAAACAAGAGAGCCTCAGTTCTATAAATACCGTGCCTTCAAGTAATACACATCAACTGTCAAATCCTTCACCCAATTCAATAAATCAATGACATATTTATGATTTATTGTAAGGCTGTTATATTTATTGTTTGCTAGGAACTTGTAAAGCAGTTTCGACCAGTCTGTAAAATTGATACGTCAAGTACGAAGGATAACTATTATTACAACTACCTAATTGTATAACATTTTATTAAAAGTATTGAGACAATAATGGAACATTAATTTGCAATGTCAGTATTTTTTAGTATAAGTATTATAATAGTATAAGTATAATTAATATAAGTATTAGTAGTATAATTACTTGTATTTGTATCAAAAGTATAAATTTGATAATATAAAATTATTTACGTGTATTAAAATTGAAGTTCAGAAACGATTTCTCAATCACTGAAAAGAAAAATATTTTTGTTATCGAGATCTGTATATGAAAAAGCTAAAATTTATTATATTAATTTTTTTTTGTACTATCATAATGTTAATACGTATTAATATTGTGATAGTTGTACAGATTTTTATTTTGCAGTTTAGCAGGAGCTCAGTATGAGCTCTTTAGAAGATATTGTATATTAACCAATTTGTATTTATAACTCTACCGTATATTTTACAATGTATGTTAATTATTCATATAATGTAAATGAAACAAATAATGGGGAAATTTTTGGAACTGCAATCCTTCGTATTTTATTTTTGTAAATCCATATATTCATAAAATATAGTTCATCTATTTATTCTACTTAAAATTACTTTAACATTTTATTACTTTTCGTTGAAGTGGACATATTACTATCGCATCCAATGCATGATTGTGTCATATTCGATGCTAAATTCATATATGTTCATATGTAATATTATGTGCTTTTTCAAATTGATTTAAAATTAATGACATATCGTATTCTGATTTACAAATCACTTAAATAAATATGAATAAATTGATGTCATTATAAAAAATTATTGAAAGATGTTGCGAGTATTGATTCGTAAGCCTTATTGTAAAATTTTAAAATCTTACAATCATGCGTTTGTGCAAACTCGACAGTTAGGCTATACCAGGTAATTACATTGATATATCAGAATTTTAAGTGTAATGTTAAATATTTAATCACAAAATATAAAATCAAATTATAAATTTGTGAAATATATCCATATTCAAATTTAATTTGCTAGAACGTACAGTGTAGTGTCCATTTCTACTTGATCCTTTTTACTATAACATATTTAATTCTATCGAGTTATAATGTATTATTTTATAAAAATCGTGTAGCTCTCTCTCAACGCGAAAAAAATCGGGAAGTAGCGATTGCGGTCAAGCAGATGAGGTGTGTACCGATAAGCCGATAAAATGGCCGAGCGGAAACAGGATCAGTTTCGATTTCCACGAAGAAACCGAAGCTGCGATGAACAAACAGATCAACGTCGAGCTGACGGCGTTTTATTATTATTTGTCAATGGCACAATCCCTTTGTTCTCCTCGTCCATAGTTCTATATTAGTTTTCAAATTTATTTTTAAGTATTTTCTTATTTAGATTATTTTGTTTAAAGCGCTTGTAGGTCGAAAATTGTCGCTATATAACATACGCATAACATGCACGATATAAATTGAATAATTTCATTGTTATCTCGTAATTTATAATTTATGTCTCGTATGCAGGCCGCATATTTCGGCCGCGTGGACGTCGCTTTACCCGGCTGCGAGTCATTCTTCATGCAGATGCATCATGAGGAGTATCAGCATGCCTTGAGATTTTTTAACTACGTAAAAATGCGAGGCGGCAAGGTGCATTTGTGCGCCTTGCCACCGCCGGACGATCAAGACTGGAAATGCCCGTTGCACGTGTTCAAAGTATATAATAAATATTTTTTGAACAGTCGAGCCTGAATTGCAATTTAAAAGAATTTTAAACAAACGTAATATTTTAAGAAGTATAATCCCTGTAAGAATGAAGCTGGATGCACAATCAAAGGGAACAGAAAATAAGAATTTCAACCTATCAGAAACAGCTGAGTACATGGTTTCTAATAGATTGAAAAGTTCGATCTATTTCCTATTCCCTAATTTTTTTAATTATATATCCTGCAGCTTTAATAAGATAATTTTCCATATATTTAATGTAAGAGGCTGATCAGGGTTTATAATAAGTTAATTAATGCCAATTTTGTCTACGTAAATTTTTTGTAGACAGCTTTGCAGCTGGAAATCGAAGTCAGTAGAAAACTGGTCGCGGTGAACGTTGTAGCGGAGAAGCACGGTGATCTGAACGCGAGTGACTTGATCATCACCGGCTTCATGGAAGATCAGATGAAAAGCGTCAACGAATTGGGGAGATTAACGACCGTGCTGTCGGGCGTTGGCGATCAAGCGCTGGCGCGATTTCTGTTTGATAAGGATCTGCTCGAGAATTACGTCACGTCCGGTTTCAATGTTCTGAGAAATAAATCCCAGCTAAGAAACAAATAGCTCCATATGTCCTCTCTTATTGTTTTCGATGAACATATAGAATATTACTTTTTTGTAACTTATTGTAAAATATTACTTTTGTAACTTATTGTGGTTCTTATTCTTTGACTGTATAATCCATGCATTATTTTATCAAATTTTTCGAAAAATATTTCAGGAAAAATTTCTATGGGTCAAAATAAATCACATACGTCTATTTCTACCAAATGGTGGATTAACTTTGATCCAGGTTTAACGTACTTTGTATCTTTTTCTACTTTTAAGAATTAGAAAAAGATAAAGAGTAATAAAAAACACGTGATTGAAGTTAATCTACATTGAACATCATCCGAATCCGCGCTCTGCTCGTCCCGATTGGTCGAATTCCGAATCTCGAGAATTACGCGATTCTCGATCTCGCTCCCTCTCTAACCCTCGCTTCGATATTTAATGAAAACGCACATTGTTGACATTTATATGACACATACGAATGGAGACGGCAGCATGGCCGCCACGGGCGCCACAGTCTTGGACGTCGTTGATTAGTTGGACGAACGACAAGGGGGGTCAAGGTATTTAATCAGGGTTGAGATTGCTCACTGCTGACAGTGCACGTTAATTAGTCGCGTCTCAGCACCATTAAGTTCGCGAGCAACCGAGATTCGCGCACCCGCTGCCACGTACTTACTTCCGGAACGTCGGACGATCCTTGTGTGTCTTTCCGAATTTTTTTTTCTCTTTTTTTCCTGTACATAAAATAATCTCGCACGACGCGAGAATCTGCGATAAGATACGTGAATCCCCCCCCCCTCTCTCCTCCCCTCGATTCCCTCCGTCCGGATCGCGGATGCAATTTGGCCTGTCGAAAGTTCCGTTCCGCGAAAAAAAAAAAAAAAACGTAACCTTCGCTGTTCGCATAACCAATTTCGAGGGTCTCAAGGAGTGAGATTTGCGCGCGCGGATTTCGCTGAGAAGGGACGGACTAGAGAGAGCGACGACAATAATAAGTTTCACTCTTCGCTGCCGGGTAAGTTTGAATGATGGCGAGCGATCTGTCGAGCGGTTGCACGGAGACGATCGACCTGGACGACGAGAAGGAGGAGGGCGAGATCTCGCTGGAGGACGTCAGCTCGTCCGAGGAGGGCGGGATGGGCCACTTGACGAGCAGCTACATCATTGGCAAAACGCGCATGTGTCCCGACTGCAAGTCCTGGGGCGAGTGCAGGACCTGGTGCAACGCGACGTATCACAAGAGCCAGGGCAGGCGAGGTAAAGCCATGCTGCGTCGGCCCCTTCGTATCCCTCGTGTCCCGAGATACCCTTTGATTATTGTTGCTGCAATATGTTCTGCATCTACCTTTGCCTTGAATCTTTCATTGATTATGAGTCGAATATAAGAAATTTTATTTTTTATTAGTGGAATTATTCTTGAAAAACGCTTCTTTTTCTTTTTTTGACCACAATTTGCACTTGCGTGTTTGACGTTAAGAGATCCGAAGACATTTCCTTGGATCTTTCTCAGTTTATTTATTTACCTGTATTGATTTTGAGATTTTTGAGATATATATAAAATTATATATTATATATGTATATATTAATTCATTAATTAATATATATGTATATATATATATATGTATATTAACAAAGAAACACTAATGCAATTGTTATGATTTTGCAACGGAGATGTATTATTGATATAGTTTCCTTTGATTATTGTTGCTGCAATATTTTGCTTCTACCTTTGCCTTGAATCTTTGATTATGACATAATCGAATATAAAAATTTTATGGAATTTCCTATCAGTGGAATTATTCTTGAAAAACACTTCTTTTTTTTTACCACAATTTGCACTTGTGTGTTTGACGTTAAGAGATCCGGAGACATTTCCTTGGATCTTTCAGTTTATTTATTTAGCTATATGGTATATTGATTTTGAGATATATATAAAACATTTTGGAAATATATATACTAACAAAGAAACACTAATGCAAGTGTTATGATCTCCCAACAGAGATGTGTTATTAATATAATTTCCTTTGATTATTGTTGCTGCAATATGTTCTGCATCTACCTTTGCCTTTAATCTTTCATTATGATTATGACATAATCGAATACAAGAAATTTTATGGAGTTTTCTATTAATGGAATTATTCTTGAAAAAAAAAAACTTACTAATCTGAGCATATAATATAGAAACGTGTTTTTCACTGGATAAACGTAAATGATCAGAATAATTCCACTATGTATTTTGTTTTAATCAAGTAGCAGTTAATCTTATTTTATAAGATCCAGTCAAAGGGAAGGAAAACCGTCACCATATCAGAGAGACGGGATACGCCGCGACAAAGCACACGGCGTCGACGTTGCAGGAGAAAAACGACGACCTGGTGCCGATCTCGAGCGACAGCGACATGGAAATTGTCGGTCTCACGGACACGTCCAATCGGAAGGCCAAAGTGAAAAAGAAAAAGCGAAAGAAAAAATACGAGCCTCTACCTCTCACCATCGACGATTTGATCTCTCCGTCCACCGACCTGATGTCTATAGCCCCGGATATCAGCTCGATTAAAATATACAGAGAAGTGGTGAGGGAAGTAAGTCCGGTTCACAGACCGAGCGGCAGATCGAAGATGATCTCAAGATCGCCGATCCGGAGATACAAGTCGCCAGTGGTAACACGGTCGCTTCAATCGTCCCGATCGCCGCTGAACAACCATTCCAGGTCACCGATACTGACGAAGAGAAACACCCCGCGAAAGGTCAGGTCGCCGAAACGTAGCCTGCGGCGTCACTCGCCCGTGAGAGCGACAGCGAAGAGGCCGCCGTCGAAGCTGAGCACACCGCCGTCGAAGCCGAGCTCGTCACCGTCCACTCGTTCCTACGCCAACAGAGACGGCGACGTGACGCGGTTGTTGAAGAAGGTGCGGCATCTGGATTCCATAGGCGCTCACGCGTCGCAGCCGAGCGTCGGTCGCGGTAAGGAATCGTCGTCGTTGAAGGAGAAACTATTCTCGTCGAATATACTGAAGAGATCCGACAGCGACGATCACGCGATACATCTCAAGGGAAAGTCGAAGATCAAGTCCGAAACGGTCAACGACGCCGACGACGAGGACGATCTGGCGTTGCTGCGACAGAAAGCGTTGGAAACGAAGCAGAAAAAGTCTAACAGATACTCGGACCATCCGGCAGACGTGGAGTCGGAGAGGAGATTGGCTGTGAATACCGATGACGACCAGGACGAGGAGGCCCTGCAGCTGCGCATGATCGCGCTTCGCTCGGCGGTCATGAAGAAGCACCAGAATCGGGTTCGACGCGGCATCAAGACCAAGAGATCCACCCGCAGCGAGAGCCCGTTCGGCACGAGTTTCCTCGACGACATACCCGTGCCCAGCGACGAGCTGCTGAAGTTCGCGTCGCCGCCGCGCACACCGTCGCTCACCGACAGCAATCACATCGAGGACATGGACCTGGACACCGATGTCGAGCGGGAGAAGGAGAAACTGCCGTACTCGCCGACCGACAAGATCACCGAGAACGTACCTATCGACACAGCGTTGCTCGGTATCGAGCCGTCCGACGTGTCGTTTATCAACGTGAACGAGACAGTCGGTAGCCCGGTCTTCGATGACACGCAGGACGAACTCGCGGCGTCGGGCGGCGAGTTCACGCCTTATAACTATAACAACACTTACTTGCCCTTCCAGTCACTACACGCCAGTCCAAACACGCCGCAATACTATGCGCATTCGCCATCGCAGTACGTCAGCGAGACCTTCCATCCGGACTTGAGCGATGCGTCCGGAAAGGGACGTCTCGAGACTCCGCACGGCGACGGTATCGTTTGCGGCCTAATAGACGGAATTTGCTGCCAGGAAGGGATTTATTCGTCGACGAGCGTGTCGGACCCTCTTTTAGTATCCAAGGATCTTCTCGCGCCTCCCGCCTGTCCCCACGGCACTTTCGCTTCCTCGTTTCAGATGCCGCAAATCGCGGAGCAGCCACCTGCCAACAACGACGGTACTGTATTTGTGAATGTGGACACCGCATTCGGAAATGACATGTCCGTCTACGAAACGCAGACGGATGCCCCCGCATATTCCGTCGCGGCGATAGCTCCGACAGCAATGGGATACGCCGAGTCAATGTCGCCTAACGAGTCGATGGTAACGATCGACGATCTTCCGGAGACTGACGCGGATCCGTTGAACCCTCTCGTTGCCGACGACCGAAATTTACCGGCCACGGAATACATTCCAAAGGAAGCAGCAGCGCCGTGTCAAGCTGCCGCGGAGGAAACGTTGCGGGAACCGCTGTACATGCAGGGTATCCCGGATGTTACCAAGGACACGAATAAGATACCCACGTTGATCAACAGGACGCTGGTGCCCGCGCCGATTCTCAAGTCGAACAAGCGGCTGCGGCAGTGCCTGAAGAAGCGCGAAACGGCGCCGCAGCCGGAGCCGACTTTCAAGAACGCCGAGATGCAGCCGGTGACCGTCTCCGCCGCGGACGCGGCGAGCAGCAGCAGCAGCAGCGTCTTCAAACCGATAAAATTGCAAGTGGCGAAAAAATCCGCGTCCGTATTGTCGACGCTCGCCACATTCGACAGTTCGGCGAGCGAGTCCTTGGATCTCGTATCGGAGGATCAAGGAGATCAAGGCGGCTCGCTCGAAACGGAGAATCACGAGACGGCTGAGTTGAGTCCTCCCGAGATCGCTGATACGCAGGGGGCAGCGAGTGGTGGTAAGGCTGCTCCAGCGACAAGGGACAAGAAGCGGAAACGCACCAAGAGGAAGAGTTCCGACACCGCGCACCGGTTGCTTGAGAGTGCAAAGAATCCGTGTTCGGATGCTGGTGTACATAGAGACGCAATTGCGGATGCGTCCACTTCGGATCACGTTGCAATCGAATCCGGTCAGAGCGGGAGCAACGGTAACGCTGCGCAGGAGGAGACTTCGACAGGAAAATCGCCGATACAAAGTATCGCTGATGCTCAAGAGTTTGTCAACTCCGGTGACAACGTCACGAAAACGTCAGAAAAGAGAAACACGGAAGAGAACGGTCGCGCAACATCGTCAACGTTCGTCGAATATTTGCAAAAGGAATCCCGCCATTGTTTATCAACAAACCCCGCCGCGACAGACCACTCCGAGTCCGGCACAGTTGACAAAGTCACCGATACGACGAAACACAATAGTAGGAGACAAAGCGTCGACGAGGACGAGGACGAATTGCGAGCGATCCTGTTGGCTTCTTTAAAACGGGCGAAATCAACAGACGCGAGCAGTCCTCCAGCTGTTCCAACAGCTGTTGCTCCCGTTGCTCCCACAGTTGCTCCGGTTACAAACTCTGCTGCAACGAGTGTCCAGAGCACAGCTGCGCTGAAAACTGCGGCGGGTGCTGCCATGCCGTCGGTGGCTAACGCGACGTGCACCACGGCGGGCAACAACGCTCCGTCGTTGCCAGCGAAGCCGTTAACTTCATCGGAAGCTGAGAAGAAGAAGATTAATGACGCGTCGGTCTCGGTGCAGAATAACGGCAGGAAAAGAGGCGGCAGCTTGGACGCGGCAAGGAGCACGCCGAAGAAAGTGCCGAAGAAAGCGCTCACGAGCACGAGGGTGGTGAACAACGCCAAGAAAGCGCTCACGAGCACGAAGGTGGTGAACAACGCGAAGAAATATCAGAACATGATTGTTCAGAGGAGGCTGAATCTACGGAAGCTCGATAACAGCGCGAAGCCCAACGAGATCGTGTGGCCCAACGTTGGTGGCGCGTCGAAGATATCGCCGCACGCGTCCGACACTCAGCGATTTGTGATAAGTTTAGGCTCCGACAGCACAGACGACAGCGAGTCCGCGGACGAGAGAGACGCGCCCGCGCCTGCTCCCGTCGCGGAGAAGCCTCAGGCGCACCAGGAGATCCCCGCCGACTTCGAGAAGAACTTGAACAAGTTTCTGCGCGAGATGAGAAACGAGCAGGAGCAATCCGCGGCGAAGTCGTCCGGTTCGTCCAGCGGTTCGCAAGCGACAAAGCGAGGAGACGTGCCGCAAGTGGCTAACGGCTCGTCCAATGTGCACACGCCACTGGTAAGGCGATTGCGTATTATTTTTTTTTTTTTTATGCGAGTAATTTGAGACAGAGAGATTAATAACGTCTGCACGCAATTACGAGGATTTATTATCTGAAGATTAAACTGACCGTGTAGAAACTTTTCGTACTTGTTCTGCAGACTTTTCTATTTTGTTTACAGGCCGTGAGGCATCTTCCCGCGTCGCAGCAAGAGGAGTATCGTCGCTTGAAGCAGCAGATCTTGGAGCGCGAAAAGTTGAAGCTGCAAAGAAAGGTGGCGAGTAACAATAGTCATAATGGTAGTGGTAGCAGTAACAAATTGTCAAACGCCAACGCGGCGAGCTCGCCAGCAAAATCCTCGCTACCGTGCGAAAAGAAAGCGCATGTTAAACCAAATCAGGATAAGTTGAAAACGCCAGAGGTAAGTCCTCAGGAACCGTCAACGGAAGTCGGAAGGAAGAGCGACGACGCGACGAGAGGCGTGTCGGAGTTAAACGTATGTCCCGTGTCGGCTGACAATCTCTCGGCGAGTGTCTCAAAACATACGAACGTCGTGCAAATCAAGAGTGGTAAGAAGGTAATACCGAACAATCTCAGCATCCGAATTACCAACGTCACCGCCGCGACTCAGCCCGGCGGTAGAACGGTCGAGAATTCGCGTGAGAAGCAATCTGCGAGGGACAAACCGCAGCATAGGGCTACCTTGAGAACGTTAAGTACAGACGAGATAAATCTTAAATATATGCAAGTACTGTTGAAGCAAGACACGGTCGAGAGAGTCGTCACTATAAGCGAGAAATCGGCCTTGCAACGCGACAGCACGACGGCGGGCGTCGATCGAGGTGAAACTCTGGCCTCCGAGCCTGATGTTAATCGGGCAGAAATTCTAAACGAGAAAAATGTAAATAATGTAGATGGCATCGATACTAGTTGTTTTTCTAACGCGTCTACCGTGAAACTTTCGGGAAATTCGTCCGCGAGCCGGCAAGAGGACACCACGATGGAGACCACAATGACGCTCTCGCAGTACGAAGCGGAACGCCAGCGAGAAATTGAGCGTGATACCTCAACGGCTGTACTTGCGGACAATGGCGGCAGCAGCAGCAGCAGCAACAGCTCTCCAAAATCGGACACAGCTGCTGACGACAATGGTAATCCAAAAGACGTTTGGAACGCGTTTAAGAAGGACGTTAAAGCGGAATTGAATTCCCTGATGAGTCTTCCGAAAGTGGAGCGAGAGCGATACCTGAGAGAGACCGAGCACAAATTGGTTGCCAAACGGTAAATTACACATAATAATTTTACGGCGAAACAACGAATAACGCGCAACAATGCTTCGATATTAAATTATGTTATGTATACGGTGCAGGTACATGGTCTTAGATCATTTAGCGGAAATGTCAGGGAACCTTCGTCAGTGGGATATGGAGAAGGACGTGCAGACTATCCTGGCCGGCGAAGTGAGAAAACTGAAGGAGCAACTGAAGGTAGCCGAGGAAAGATTGCAGCAGCAGCGCGAGCGCGTTAGCAGCATGGGCCCGAAGGTTTCGACCGCACGTCAAAAGATCAATACTGGCCAGCGCGAGTGCTTCAAACTATCGGAAGTTTGTTCGACCCTAGGTAACCGACTCATGGGGAAAAACTACAAGTACGCAAGTATAAGAGCCACCAAGATGCATGTGGCATACATATTTAACATATAATGATTTAGATTAACTTGTTAAATTTATCGTATACTCTTAAAAGTAAAGAAATAAATTCTTTATATTCTCTTATAATATATTTTGATTATGAAGATTGAAAAGAAATAAATTCTTATATAATATTTTCTTATAATATGTTTTGAAATAAATTCTTATATTCTCTTATAATATATTTTGATTATGAGGATTGTTCTTTTAGGTTGCCAGAGGCGGTAACTCAACTCCTAAATGATAAGCTCAAGGAGGTCGCTAATCATACCCGTCAGTTCACCAAGAAGAAGCGGCTCCAATCTAATGATATTTCTGAAAATTCCTATTCTAGTTCGTTGCAAGAAATCTCAGACTCGTCTAAGGACTCCGAGGAGAATTTGTCGTTGCAAGAACAGCCAACGAATGGCGCGGCTGTGATCGATGAGGCGGGATCGAAGAGCGATACTTCTCGCTTGACGCAATCTAATCAAGATAAAAGTCCGCCGATACCGGAAACCTCGTTGGATTTCTCGATACCGGAGAATAGAGAAGAAACTTTAGCGAATACGCCAAATCATAACGAAGACGTCGCGTCCCTTAATCGTGATAGCGCGTTATCCTCTGAACCAAAGCTGTACCAAAGTAGTTCGACAAAGCAAAATGACGAGCACACGGAAGGAAGTAGAACGGACGAGTCCGAGCCCGCTGTGTCTTCAGAGCTTAAATCGTCAGCGACAGATTCTTCAAGTCAAAAACGCAATGAACAAAATAATAAAAAAGCCTCGACGCAACTACCATCGTCATCGCCAACACCATCGTCATCGACCGCAACGACCACGACAGATGTAACAACGACAAATGTAACAACGATGACGACGACGACGATGAAGATTGCACCTTATGTATCGATATTGACGCACTTAAAGAAACCGAGGTGAGTGTTCCCTTTTTCGAAAGATGGGTCACAATACTCGATCGTTCACTGTCTGTGAACTGTGCTGAAAATCTTGAGGATTTTTGTGGTTTCTGTTACTCTTCTCGCCAGGAACATCAACCCCCATGGAATTCTGTGTCCGTACGAAATGCAGGGCATTTGCAGAGACGAGGATTGCCAGTACATTCATCAGTCGAGGAATCAAACCTGAAATAACACATTACATACTACCGAACATACTCAACATAATATACGTAAGGTGGTTCTAATTTCTCGTCAAATGTGTCAATGTGGATCGCACATTTTATGTACTGATAAGGCGTCAATTCGTTAGATATAAACTCACGCGTTTAGTTCCTTGGCTATTTTAACTTTTAACTAATTATTTACGATACATGTGTATATATTACATATAAGATAGAATCGCGTAACTATTATCTTTCTTAATTAGGAATATAATCGTATGATCGTAATAATCGTTTTGTACATACAAAAAGTAGTTTTAATCGTCTCTTTGAACCGTATGTCTTTGATTTCGTATTTGCAGGTATCATCGATTATCCTGTAGGAAGTAAATATATCGATATAGGCGGGATTATGCGGAGCCAACACCTGAAGATCGGTAAGTTGTCTTCATCCATGGCAGGCTCTAGTGCGCAATATTGAAATTATTGTTTTATTTCGGAAAAATCTTACATTTTACGTAAGATGTCTCTCCCCCTTTTTTTTACATATATATATAAAAAGTCGTGCTACTACGGGATTTCGAGCGGTATCCGTACTTTACCAAAAGTTCAAAGAAAAAAAATTTCTATCACAGTGTATATTTTTTACAATTGTAAGAAAAAAAAGTGTCATAAACTGCAAGATCAACCAGTGTGGTAAAGATAGAAGAAGAATCTCTATCGACCATACTAAAAAAAGAAGAACTAAGATTGAAAAGAAGAGAAGTTCTGCAATTACGGATCATCAAATGGACGATCAGTTACTTTTTCTTCGTACTTCGATATAAGTTACCTCATATATTATGAATCTTGTACCTGTATAATAAAAGTTGAATATTTTTTTCTTATCTAATGTTAAAATTAATTACATATATCGGCCCTCCCTGTCTCATGTACTATACCCCAGTCTGTATATAACTTTCTATAACTATTATCTTTCTCAGTTAGGAATATAATCGTATGATCGTAATAATCGTTTAATTGTTCCATTTTAAATATAAATTTTTAAATTTTACATATATCGGCCCTCCCTGTCTCATGTACTATACCCCAGTCTCTATATAACTTTCTATAACTATTATCTTTCTCAGTTAGTAATATAATCGTATGATCGTAATAATCGTTTAATTGTTCCATTTCAAATATAAAACTTTTTAAATTTTACTCTACAAGATTAATTCTTTTCTCTCTTTTTATTCGCCGTATTTGGTGCCGGGGAAAGGGCCCTGAGTTCTGTGTTTGTGCCAAGGTAATCTGCCTGTAACTCTAAGTTCGTCCCAACGTTCCACCCAGGCCTTCGGACATATGGACGTGAAAACATCTTTAAACCACGTGCACGCCTCGTGACCTTCGCCCAAAATATGCTGACAGCGATAAAAATCGGTGTACATCACGAAGCACCTCTGCGTCTGATTTTGTTGCTGGAATCTGTAAAAGGATGACGGAGATGTCAGGAGAAATATTATCCTCGAATTGATTTTGTTGCTGAAATCTGTAAATGGATGACGTAGATGACAGGAGAAATATTATCCCCGAATTAATTACGAATATCTCAATTACATGTACCTCGGGTCATTGCCAGGAGAAGTTAGTCCAATTTCACGCAATTCCCCATCGCCTCGAACCTCTTCCTTTCTGAGACAAGGATCATCTTCATCTACAAGGATACTTATCTTTTTCTTCTTGTCGCCCGTTTCTTGCTTTCGTGGATTATCTACTTTTTCCCCCATTCCCTTTAAACGTCGCAATCACGTGTGCTTTACGATATTAATAATTCCGTTATATATTTTAAATCCCTCTCTTTAAAAAATGTTTAGTGCTCCTCCTTCATTTTTGAATTTTCTCTCGCTGCTTTTCGATTGTTTAAATTTTCGCTGTTATATATATACGGCGATTATAATTAAATTAGCGTCTTTATTGACAGGAAACCGAACGTATAAAGCAGTACAAAAAGATTTCTTAAAAATAGCATACGATACGCAACGCATAATTAATCACAGCTAACGTAAGGCCATTATCTTCTACCTCTGTGATGTTGAAGCGTTTCCCCGCAACATGTAGATCAAATAATGTAAATCATTTCAGGTAACGCACACAGTATGTGGTAGCAGCATATCGTTTTTACAGGAAGAAAATTCTGTTACAAATTGTGAGCTATGTGTATACAAGATACAAGCGCTAACGACTAATGAATCGCATAAATCAAGCATAGATTTAGCTCCCCGGCGAACACATTGTGGTAAACAAATAAAATCTCTAATGAGATTATTTTTATTATCTTTCAGTATTATATACGCCGAGCAATATATAAATATAATATACGCGCATATATGAGAACGATTCACATAAAAAAAATATGTATATGTCAGTATTGTTCGTTATGAAATTATAAGAACACACGCTTTTATTATTTTCTTGTATAGAAGTAGATATTATCATTTCAGCATATAAAAATGCATATTTTCACGTCTTATGTTCAGTCGTAAGAAATAGAAAGAGAAAAATTCTCTGGTAGAATCTATAAAATTCTAAAACTAGAGTCTGAAAATAACGGAACTGCAAATTTTCAACGTTTAATAACCGTTAAAAAAAAAGCTGCATTTTTTACAACCAATATCTTAATATCTTATCAATCTGACGACGTCTCCAAAAGACCACAGTTATATTCATATCGTTTGTAGAAAAAATATATACATAATTCATCGCTGAACACAACTATGAATATAATTATATCAGAAGTCAACAAGTGGAGAATAATTTTCAGTGAAATTGATTCAAGGTGTAATTTAAAAATACAATATTATAATATCCATCATTGTGTCGAGATGTACAATTTCAAAATACAATATTATAATATCTATCATTGTGTCGAAATGTACAATTTCAAAATACAACATTATAATATGTTGCCTTATTATCCACTTGATACTTCCATTAATAGAAGGCACTATTCAGGTCCCAATATATTAATCGACGTCGGGATGAGGATTACATAATCCTTGCATCCTTCCAATCTCTTTTTCTTCATTTTTTTTCGAATCACATCCAATATACACAATTTCTTAAAATAAAAATGCCTGATATGTTAAGATTAATATTGATAATTGATAATCGATTCTCAAAAGAGAAAGATATGTGAAAATTGTATAAGTAGATCTATATATATATACATATATATATACAGATCTCGTTATGAACGCAGTAATATTTAGTATTATACATTTTCTGATCAATTTGAAGCCAAGAAATATGAGGAAAGAAGCGTTAATGCAGGACACCCTGTTTATATGATGCAACTAGTGAAATGTTTGGCTAAAGATGAGCCAAGAAAATGTTTATCGATAGGACCAGCCTACCTTCGAACGAATAATTCCATCTGACATTTGTGTGACAACGTGACAGCATGAATAAATCTTACATTATAGGCGAGCGCAGACGAATTATCTCAACGACGAGATGTACGGCTGGCAAGTCATGCGCTGTACCGGCTGATAGAGTCTCCTTTGTACTGGACTGGCGGTGATATTATCGTTCGGCCCGAAATTGTACGAGTTGGAATCCCTGGATAAGTCGGCGGTGGCCGTTTCCGCGGGACGGTTCTCCTGGAGCGGCGAATCTCCGTTTCCGACCTGAGACGACTGCGCGGCGGCCTCGTTCCTCTTGCGGAACTTCGTCGAGTACTTGTAGAAGTCCGACATCTCGAACGGCTTCGTCACCTCCCTGTACGGCTGATACTTTCCCGGCTGCACGACCGTGCAGTTCTGCGGCGAGCCCAGCGGCCGTATCGCCACGTTATCGCAGACGTCCAGGGACGGCTTCGATTCGGCCGGTATCTCCAACACCTTCGACCTGGTTGTCGCGGGCTGATCGTAATGCGGATGCGACTGCTGCACCGCGTGCTGCCGCTCCTCGGGCTTGTCCCTCTTGTGACGATTCACGGGGGGGCTCATCGGCGGTGGCGGTCCGACGGCGGTCGTCTGACTGTCTCTCGCGTTCTCGTTAGCGGCAGCCTTGATACGAGCGGGCGGCGGACTCGAGTGATAATGCACGTTCTTGCGCGCGGTGGCCAGATTGTGGTGCGACTGATCCAAGCCCGCGCTCGCCCCCGCGTCCAACGACGTCTCGTACCACTCCTTCTGACGACCCTTACGATTGTTGTTGGCGTACTCCTGGCCCGCGGACGCGTCCTTGCCGTCGTGCGCGTCGTGCGAGTGGCACGACGACTGCCAGGTCTCCACGCTTCCCAACGACTGCGTGCGCAGCAGCATCTTGTTGCTCGTCGGCAGCGTTTGTTGCTCGGACAACGGCAGCAGATGAACGGAGTGATGCTGATAGGACGACGCGGTGACGTTGCTGTTCGACGAGCTCTTCGACGGGCACGCGACGGCGACCGTGCGGTAACGCGAATGCGCGTCCAGATTCGCGTCGCTGGCACTGCTGTGCTGAGCGTTCCGGCGTCTGCGATCCAAACTGCCGAATCTGTCGGGCTCGTCCGTGCTTATCCAGTGAATGTCGTCGTTGTGCCGCACCCAGTAGCCGGACGGCAATTGCGCCTCGATCGACATCGTGCTGCCGCCGCCGCCGCCGCCGCTGTGCCGCGAGGTGTTCTTCACGCAGGACTGTAACGACGAGTCGCGGTCGCGCCTCTGTAAGATCTGCTGGCATTGCGCGCTGTTCTTGTAGTAGGCCTGGTAATCGATGGGCAGGTAGGACGAGCGAAAATCTCTGTCGTAGCTGCTTCTGCGTATGAAATCCACGTTGTCCACCATCACCTGCTTGTGGAACTCGAAGGAATTCAGGTACTGGTGCCTGTGGGCCTGCTGCATCTGATCCTGCAGCTGCTGCTGCTGCTTCTGCAGATGCTGGAATTGACGGTAGCGCATCTGACGCTCGTCCTCGGTGTAGGTGTTCGGCACGTAAGGCCGGTACATTCTCTCGGTGTCCGGATAATGGCCGCGAGACCCGCCGCTACCGTGGGAATACGTGCGCGCGCGATACTGCTCCGGTAAAATGTAGATGTTGTGATTATCGTTGTGATCGTGCTCCACGATCTTGATGCTTGGCTGCTCGACCGGGCTCACGCCGGGATACGAGCCGCTGTGATGGTGATGGCTGCAAACGCTCGGCACGGTCAGCTGCTCCTCGTACCCATGCCCGGCGTGGTAAGTGCTCGATTTGTCCTCGGGTGCCAGGGGACTCAAACTGACGCCAGGTTCATGAAGTATACCTCTTCCAATGGACTTCGGAGTTGTTATCTCATTTCCTGCATTGTACATAAATTATATGTTACAGATTGAAGCTTTATTTTCTAAATTATTCCAAAATTGAAATTAATAATTATTAATTTCAATTTTTCAATATAATTTAGAAAATAAAGCTTTTTATCTTACGCACGTGCACACGCCATACCTGTACTATCTAACGGTGGCCGTGGCTTCTTCGTCCTGTGTTTCACGTTAACGTGTGAATGCGGTTGCGTATTGTAATTTCCCGTGTTCACCGACAACTGAGTTGGCCGCTGTGTTTTACCACGAGACTGCCTAATGAAATTCAGCTGCGTCTCCAGTTCTTGCAGTCTTCGCTGACTTTGCTGATAAGCGAGCCTCTGCTTGCGTCGTGTGGTCTTACTTTCCGTAGAATCATTAATAATACCCAATGCAGCTTCCACAATTCCGAGATGTATTTGCCTCTCCAACTCCAATTCCGACTCCTCCTGCGCATGCAAGCAGACGATAACTCCAATCCAACATATTTGCATCGATTGTTGTACCATTACATAAAAAAAAATCTTTATCTTACAGCATCGGGTGTCTTCAACTTGGTCGTTTTCTGCGGCTGTACAAAGGAAGTGCCCACTTTTCTACGAAAAGCTGGCGGACTTTCGCCGGGCTCCAGAGGTATTTCCGGTGGTAGAACCCCCGTTATCTCCGCCTCCTCCACGCACAGATTTTTCAACTCATTATTTTTTTGGGCAAGCTTCTCTTGCAAGGCTTCTCTGCGCTGACGTAGCCATTGCAGTCTCGCAGATAACGGATTGTCTGCCAAGTCTCCTGGCGCATTTTCGTTTCCTGCCATCACTAGGCAATCGTTAAAAAAAAAAAAAAGTAATTTTAGTCTTTAGTTGTAATTTTAGCAATTAATTACAAAAGCGTTGAAAAGTGCATTATGTTGCTGGTTGTACTTACCCATATTATTGGGTAAAGTATAGCAAATGGGTCAGCTATAATTTTCACGTATATCCTGATCAATGCATCTCGATGGTAACATGTTCTGAACTACGATACCATTTCAGTATTATTTCATAATCATGTAAATTTAAACTGTGTTTCCATATATTTATGTAGATTTGCTCTTACAACAGTAGAAGAACACAAAAGAGAAAGATTTCATAATCAGGATATACTAGACGAGGAGTCATCGTCTTTGCGTGAGTCGAGCATTCCTTCTTCAGATAATCTTCTAGATAAATCAGTAGGGAGTGAAGTAAAATCCCCAGTGAAAATTCCTGGCGTTCCAAGACACTTTACTGTAACAGAGCAAAAAGTTATTTTCCTTAATATACAACAGTCTTCAAAGTGCTCTGGCTTATTCGAAGTTTCCTGACACAAAACACTTAAGACTTCTAATGCTGTTTTATTATTTGTACGCAACTGTAATCCTAATTTTTCTCAACAAACTTTATAAATCGCTCCTTAAATTTCCCTCCTCCAGCGGCTCCCGTTAGCTCTCGTCTCCTATCGGTTTCTACGATAACGTCTAGGTCAGTCTAGGTTAAACGTCACAAAAAAAAAATGCAACTGATAACTTTATCAATTTACGAGGGTCAGCCATTTGCGACTGATTGTGAGATCAAACACGATCAAACACTTGGCTCCAACAACTGTTCGCAATCGCGAAAATTTGTTATAAACTATACGTTTAAACCACATAACATTCGGATTCGGATAATTCTTTCGTTTGTAAACTCGGGCGGTGTGTCATAACCAATAAAGTCCAGCGATTCAGGGCGAGCTGAAGCCGAGCTGACTCGACGCCGAGAATCATTTTTACCATCGGTACTCCCCGGTAAGGAGTTTCAACTGTGCCCACCCGCGGAAGACGTGAAATGCGACGCTCTTTAAAATCCAGCCCACGGAACGGCCAGCGTCGCGCGGACTTTCCGGAGTGCGTAACGCGCGACAGGGGAGGCTCGGCCTCTGGAGGAACGTCGACGACTCGCGAGTCCGAATCACGCACTTTTTGTCAATCACGCGCACTCTTATCAGTCTTATCTCTCTTATCTTCCCTAGGCCAGTTGTAGTACGTACGTAACGCTGTTGACTTTCCCACCAGCCGCGCGTACTCCTACGACGGTAGAAGAGACTCCACTCCCTTTTATCTGCTGGAACGGATTGTTGATTGTTGATGCATAAGCCGAGATGCGAGACGCGAGGCGTGTTCAGTTCAGGCTCGAGCGGGTGCGTTCGGAAAACATTGGGCGCAAGTTTAAACGTCCCCCCTGCTGCACTGGGCGACGAAGCATAAGAGATCTGCTCTTCGTGAGCTGAACTTTTTGCACTTCTCGTATCTTTCTTCTCTCTTTGTCCACTCCGGTTATATGTCTATCTCATTTCAAGTGCAGAAGGTACGACGAAGGGAGTAATCTTGCTGAGAAAATATAGGTGTGTTCCTTTTGGCCGAACGCTTTTCATTATTTCTCCTTTTTTTTCTAGTGACTAGTCCTGTGTCCAAATACCGTATTGGTGCACGCTAGATACGTAAAATTATTACAAAACTATATCTTAATCGATAAAAGTTAACATTATTGTATATTTTTATAGTGAACTTGGATTCCTCGGTATCTTATAATATTCCATTTCTATATCAACTTAATTTAATTTTAATCTCGGGTTATAATAATTTATTCTTTTTTTGATTTTTAAAATTAAAAAGATCAGATAAAAGGTAATTGTTAAACCGAGATTAAAGTTGATCTACATTTCATAAAAATGCGTTTCATTAAGTGTGTAAGATAAAAAACAAATAGCATCATATATATTAATTGTTTGCGCAATTTTATAATTATTTCTTTTTTTTCTAACCTATGTCCAAATACTGTATTGGTGCACGCTATAAATTATTATAAAATAATATATTTTAATCGATAAAACACTCAATGTTAACCTTATCATATAGATTTTTAGCAATTGGACTCCTCGATCGGTATCTATATAATATTTCATTTCTATCAGTATAATTTAATTTTATAAATCTCGGGTTAATTTACTCACTTATTCTTTTTCTGATTTTTTGAATTAAAAAGAGATAAAAGGTAATTAATTGTTAAAGCGAACAGATTTAAAATATATTGATCTACATTGATAGAAATGTTTCATAACAGTACGTGTAAGATAAAAAACAGATAGCATCATAATTGTTTGCGCAATTTCATTATTTTTTTTTCTAATCCTATGTCCAGATACTGTATTGGTGCACGCTATAGCTAGCATACGTAAAATTATTATAAAACAATAAATATATATATTTTAATCGATAAAACACTCAATGTTAACCATATATAACGTATGTACATTTTTAGCGAACTTGGACTCCTCGGTATCTACAATATTCCATTTCTATCAGTATAATTTAATTTTATAAATCTCGGGTTAATTTACGTACTCTTTATTCTTTTTCTAATTTTTAGAATTAAAAATATCAGATAAAAGGTATAATTGTTAAATCTCGAGATTAAAATTGATCCACATTGATAGAAACGTTTCACAATTAATTAAGTGTGTACAAGATAAAAGAACAGATAGCATCACTGTTTGCGCAATGTTAAATCAATCGATATAAGAATATTTATCTTCTTTTTGATTTTTATAAATGATCATGACGCACGAGAATATATCTAGATGCGACACGTGTGAGCGCGCGAGCGCGTGTAGCGCGGCGCGGCGGGTTGGAGGGGGGAGGGGAGCGCCGGCACTTTCTGGCGGCGCGCTGCGCGGCGGCTAGACTGGCGCCACCACGGTGCGGTCTGCGTCCCTGCGTGGTGTTGCCGACTTGCCGCTGCTGGGCGAATGACTTTTTAAAAACGCGCGGTGAGGGAGTGAGGGAGAGCGAGGAAGAGCGAGGGAAAGAGAGAGAAGCGGAAACGCCGCCGCGAACGGCGGAGTCCGGAGTCAACGATCGGAGTAATAAACGTCGCGCGGTAACCGTCGTCGCCGTTTGGACCTCGTCTCGTCGGCGCGGACACGGCGGATATGCGGACGGCGATGACGCGGCACCGCGGGTGCACCGCGTAGTAACCCGCCGCGTGCGGAATCGACGACGCCGCGCGATTGATCGATGCCGTGGCCGCGATGCGCGCCGAGGCCGTGCCGCCCGCGACAGCCGAGACATCGTTAATCAAGCCGTCGATTGACCGAGCGAATAGGCGAGCGTGCGTATTCCGGGGGGGACACGGGGCGGCGCAGCGCACCTTCCCTCGAGCGAGCACGAAGGGCGGATAGAGCAGGATAGAGGAAGAGAGAGAGAGAGAGAGAGAGAGTTATTGGTGGAGGAGGAGGAGGAAGAGGAGGCGGCGGAGGAGAAGGGAGAACGAGCGAGTAAAAGCGAATTGAATTCCTGCGCTCGACGGTGTAACGTACGTACGGTTACCGGAACTGCGGCCCGAGATACCCGACATATCGTCCGTTTCACTCTCCGCTACGGCGGATCGCGGGTGTCCGAGAGAGAGACAGCTTGACTGAAAAGGCGGGGAGCGGCGGGAAGGAAGGAACGAGAGCGAGAGTGAGAGGGAACAATTTGGGAGGGTTAGATGAGGGTGGGAGTACGTTTCGATAGAGCGAGTGCAAGCGCAGCGACGACGACGACGACGACGACGACGAGGAGGAATCCGGAGTAGATATACGGGACCGAGAGAGTGGGACCGATCGGGCGGCGTGCACGCGAGCCGAGCGCGAGGACCGAGAACCGCCGCTCCGCGATGGACGAGTGCATGCTCAACGACTTGTTGGAGTGCTCGGTATGCCTGGAGCGGCTCGACACGTCCAGCAAGGTGCTGCCGTGCCAGCACACGTTCTGCAAGAAGTGCCTGGAGGAGATCGTCAGCACCCACCGCGAGCTACGCTGCCCGGAGTGCCGCGTCCTCGTGGACGCCAAGGTGGACGACCTGCCGCCGAACGTGCTGCTGATGCGCATCCTCGAGGGGATGCGCAACGCCGTGCCGAAGAATCATCAGGCCAAGTCCGCCGCCGCGCTGCCGTCGTCGCGATCCACCGGCGGCACCGCCGCGCCGCAACGGCTGTTCGGCGGCCACCAGGTCGCCCCGGCGCCCATCGTCACCGGCAGCCTCGCGCCCGCGATCGCCTCCGAGCCGGCGGTGCGGCATTCCAACGCCGCCGCCAAGCAGGTGCACCTACACAATCAGGCGTACGGCAGGGCGATCTACGATTACGTCTCCAAGGTGCCAGGGTATGTATCGCACGCATTCGTGTACGTACATTTACGATTTATCGTTGCATTTTCTTGTTTTACCGTGTGAACAACGTTGCTGTTTGTTCTTGCAGCGATTTGAGTTTTAAGAAGGGCGACATAGTCATCCTCCGGAAGAAGATTGACAACAATTGGTATTTCGGGGAATGTGGCAATAATCACGGTGTCTTTCCTCTGTCTTACATTCAGGTATAACGCGAGCGTCTTGAAACGTCGAATGTTCCACCGTCTCGTGTGCCGTGAATTTAAATCTAATCGCAATTTTCTCTATCGCAATTTCCAGGTGATGACGCCTTTGACACCGCATGTACCTCAATGTAAAGCGCTATACGATTTTAGGATGATGAATGACGACGAGGATGGTTGTTTAACTTTTAACAAGGTAGCTTCACATGTCACTTTTTTCTAATTACTCGTCGTATTAATGTATCGCTGTTGTATTTATGCGAAACGAACGTATTCGCAGGGGGAGGTTATCAGCGTTATCAGAAGAGTGGACGAGAATTGGGCAGAAGGTAAACTCTTGGACAGAATTGGTATCTTTCCGCTGGCTTTCGTCGAGCTGAACAGCGTTGCCAGAGCTTTGATGAAACTCTCGACCAAGTAAGTAGAACGGTCGATCAAATATGCTGTGTTTTTTTTTTTAATGAATATACATTAATTAAAGTTTCTTAATCAGTGTACAGCCGGGACCGTCGAGGGTAGCCCCGCCAACTCCGACGAACGAGGAAACCACGCCGTTGATACCGACCGATCATTCGCGTAATGTGCAAACAACAAGTCAGTCCCGACCGCAATGTGTACAGGTACATATTTATTTCTAATCGGAGCGTCTTTATTTATAAATGCAACAAGATATATCTTGATATTGTATTTGCGTAGAACGCCACGTTACAGGTGTCCGATTCCGTCTCAAACGTGTCGTCTGGCGGCAGCTCCACGACCACCACTCCGAACACCCCCAACAGTTCGACCACGTCCAGCAGTTCCAGTACTGCCCCGAGCAGCCCCGGTAGCCCCGCGACGTCGCCGCCCGCGGTCGGCAACAGGCATAGCGTTAAACGTCATAGTTTCACTGCCGTCAATACAGGTCATCATGCACATCCCCATCATAGACATAGCGCTGAAATACTTAGTCCTCCGGTAGACAGTGCCCCTAATAACGCCAATAATAGCGGAGGCAATGAGTCATTTTCCTCCTTACAAGTAAGGAAATCACTTTTTTTTTCTCTGATCAATGCTTTCTGTGCGGATAAGCTATCGTGCGCGATCAATGCGTAATTCTCTCTCTGTTGCTTTCGCGACCGCGACATTTCTTACGCCGAACTTAAATCAATCTCCCTCTGTTCTAGACGAGCGGTAGTTGCGCGGATCATAATCTTCGTCACAGACGAAGTGGCAGTAGCGACCTCGTCCTCGCCCAGGCGTCACAAAGCACCCCCGCCGGCCAGACCACCGGCGCGTCCGGTGCGACGCATCTGCCAGCGGCGTACGTGGCGTTGTACCCGTACAAGCCCCAGAAGGCGGACGAGCTCGAGTTACGGAAGGGCGGGATTTACATGGTGACGGAACGCTGCCAGGACGGATGGTTCAAAGGAACGTCCAATCGCACCCAGAAGTGCGGAGTTTTTCCTGGAAATTACGTCGCACCCGCCAAGTAAGCGTTCACCTCCTCCTGTCTCCGTCCACTTTTGTTCGGTTGTCAACGCCCCCTTCCCCCGCGTGTCTTACGCGTCTCCGACTGTACTTTGCAGCAGATGTCAACGCGGTCTGTGCCGCGGTACTCCAAACTCGCCGAGTCAACATCAGGGCTCGCCCCTGTCGAACGCCCCGTCGAACGCCGAGTCACGTTTGGCAGTGACGTACACGAAGAGCAAGGGTCCCGCGCCGCAGCCGTACAATCCTCGCACACTGCCGCCGCCTGAATTGCCGCCGCGCGCCATCAGCCCATCCACGACGACCGTGTCCGCGTCCTGGCACGGCGCCGCTCAGTCGAATCAGGGATCGAATCAGGAAACCAGTCCGCCCCGACACAACGACCAGAATGCCACTCCGCTCGGGCGCAGTCACAGCGCGGTGATGACGGCGAATATTCGTACGTATACCTGAAGCGAATCACGCGCAAACGATTACGCTTTTTCACTGAGATTCACTACAATTGCGCCTGGTGTTCCCTTTCCAGCTTCCCCCGGCAAACAAATCGTCGTGTCGTCGTCGCTGCAACCGGCAGCGGGTATCAACAGCGCCAACAATGGCTGCAGCAGTGTCACCATTCCCGCGCCTTCCTCTTCCACGGGCGACATGAACAGGAGCCCGAATAACACTCTGATACGTGCGATCGTAGCGAGCGGTATCGAGCGGGCGAATGCAGCCGCGGCAGCGTCCAGAACCACGGAAAAGGTATCAATCCCGCGATAAGTTGTTACACGTTGTTACCGTTCGATAATATAATAACGTAGCTCATATATATATACCCACTTATAAATTACAGCCGAAAGAAAAGAAGGACAAATGCGTCTCCTTGATGCGGCGCCTGACCAATATCAAAAAGTCTAAATCGCCTCCACCTACCACGTACTCGATGGACAATCCTGTATTCGACGACGGCAATTCCGTTAATCCGATACACGTTCGGTGAGTAGTGCAGTCGGCTCGGATTATCGCGAACTTACGTGGACACGTATGTGTGTGTATTATAATCCCAAAAGTCGAGAATAGCATTGATCTTTTATTTGCACGTTTTGATAATTGACATCTTGTTTGACACATGTCCCATCTAAATACCCAGCTAATTTCCGTATGCACATACATGCATTTATTGTGTACATTTATACGAAGATCGTGTTCTCAGATATGTGCGCGCGTATGAATGTTCGTCGTAAAATGTTAGTTTAAGTGTGTTTAAAAGCGCTACGTTTTTCGTTTTTTTTTTGTTGCTAAGATCGTTGCATGATCGTTGCATCGCCGTTACGCACACGTGCAGAGTAGATAGACAAGCGGCTAAAACAGCCGCATCACGGATAACGTAAATGTTCATCATGCTTTGTGCGGCATGACACAAATTGCACGCCTTGAAATGTTTCTCTAATATATTGTGTATTGGGACGGGGTGGGTGGGGCGGGTCGAATTGACAATCGCAGATCGGGATCTTGCCCAAGTCAGTTGCTACAGGTGGTATCCACACAGGAATTAAATGCTTCAAACAGCCCACACCGCTTATGCCCGGGCTCTGTGCAGGGGCACGTCACGTCCTCACAGAGACTGAAATACAAGGAGAGACCCTCCTTACCAGTGTCAGTGACTCAGAGGTTAGTCGTTTGTGTAATTATAAATATGAACCGGCCTCTCTAAATTCGCGAAACTCTTTCCTCGCGTACATTTTGCCAGCAGACAAATTATAATTATGCATTAAATATAAAAGGAACAATTTTTTTTTGCAATAACGTTAAAAAAGTTGCGACATCATTTATATTTTACAAGTAACACAATTGTAATATTTGTTTGCTTGAATGAAGATACAGGATGGCAAATTATTCGGTGATAAACTGTCCTAATATAAAATTAATATCTTCTTTTTTTTAAGCAGTCATTTCTTAATTTTTACGGCGAAGACACACTCCATGTGTAAGTCAGTATACGCATTTGAGAATTATATAATTCTGTCATACTTATTTCCTTTTTTTTTTTACATTAATATTTGCAATTTATTGCGAGGTAGAACTGCATTTTTCATTTTAAGGTAAGCTTAGAAAAATCTAGGCCACATACATTTTACGTTGCCTACGTAACTAACGTATATAGATATTTTTTTATATATCACAGAATTATAGCACGCTCTCTCGCACAAGGTAAATTTTATTTCATATTGCAATTTAGTTTAGAGAAACATTGATTGCAGATACTTTGCATGTTCAGAAAATCCCGAATGTGATATAACTGATAGATATTTATTAAATGTTTGTTACACAGCCCGTTAATAATTCTCTGTGCAAAATGCCACGATTTAAATATTTTCCATTTATTTACGCTTGTGTGATGCTGAACCGTTTGGTATATATAACGTTAGCATTTCGTATATATTTCGTATTCATATAACAAATTGTCACCGCAATTTCTCTGTATTGCAGCGACAACCTTGTCATACATTGACTCTTTTTTTTTTCGCATTTAGATCCAACGAATCTGGCGCAATGGTATGCTCGACCGGAAACCATCATCGCAAGAGTAATTCGCTGGACGCTGGAATGGGAAAGCAAATGAAGCAGCAATCGTCGCGCGACCGGTGGGTAATAATTTCGCTCCCTCCCTCAAACCCCCGTGTTTAACTGTCGTCAACTTTCGCCCGTTAGTCACAAAGATTACAACGTTCCCCCCGGTCGCGTTTCGATGATAACTGTGTTTAAATTTCAGCACGGGCTACAGATTCCGTTGTATCGTACCGTATCCACCTAATAGCGAGTTCGAGCTGGAGCTCCGCGTGGGGGACATAATATACGTGCAGAAGAAGCGCGACGACGGATGGTACAAGGGCATGCAGCAGCGTACCGGCCGCACCGGGCTGTTCCCGGCGAGTTTTGTGGAAGCTTTCTGAGACCCGACGCAAGGTCGCCTAGTGTTAGAAACTTGTATATAACTTGGCCTTTCTTGTGTAAGTATTTTACACAACATATATTCAGAGATCCGGGGGATTCCATCCCCCGGGATAGAGAGCGTCACACGCGTATCGTGCTACACACGCGTGCTCGTTGCCGTTTGAGATATACTCTCTGAGATATCATCGACTGCGAAAAGCGATTCCGGTGCGATGCACGGCGCGTATACACACGTCACGCATGCATGCCGTATTATTTCGAGCTGTGCAATATAACGTACAGATGCGTGAACTTAATGGGCCATTAATTAATTAACGCGTTTTGTAATAAACACGCGTAAGTGTAAGTGACCGACGACGCGTCGAGCTAATGAATGCGTGAATCGTGCGGTGGGTGCAATAGGGAATTTTAGCGCGAAATAATTACGCCGTAATTTTGCATGTAAATACGTATACCGCGGGAAGTGGGTGTGGAGAGGTGTGACGAAGGGTAGTGACGAACACGACGACGCGGAAACTACTCGGAACTTATACTGCCATCGGTTATGTAGGCGTGCGTAACTGTAACGAGAATAACGAATTCATTTTTTTTTTTTCGCGCGACGTTTACTGCCATTTGCGAATCGTAAGGGAAAGAATATCGGTTTCCCGCGGTTTTCAAGCCGCTGATTTTCGGAACTTGCTGTCTTCTTTCGATACGCGCGCGAAAACGTGTAAAAGAGATTAATATATGGGTTGTGTAATAATCATGCTTATACGCGCGTGAAGCCGTTCACACATGACAATTAAAAGTGAAATTATGGAACAAACAAACAAAAAACGAACGAAATTGCATACGGAGAAGAGGGTTCTTTTTAGAAAAATTTAAATATCTCGGGGGGAGGGAGGGAGGCAGGGAGAGGGCAAACGCAAACGTAGACTGATACGAGACTATATGTCTATGCGATGATACGCTTAAATTGTTTCAACGTGTCGAACGTTGGAGTTGTTCTTCCGATTGTCTCGATAGGATCGTACTTGTAATGCAGTTGATAGAAAGTTGAAATTCCATCATTTCAGCTAACTGAAAGTTGAAATTCCATCATTTTTTACTTCAACGAGGGATTTAAGTGCATTATCGCACGGACGTTTTATAGGCTTGAACCTGAGATATTTAGAATTATACATTTGATCCATATTTATTGTCGGTTACTACTGGGTTTTATATAATTTTCTCTTCCCTAATCTGCCATTGTAAATCGACTTATTTGCCGCCGATATCTTATTATGCTTATATATATCAAAAAATATATACTATAGGAGAGGCACAACCAGTAATTTAATTATTGACATTATTTAAGACTGGACTATGTTTTGGAATTGTTAGTCGAGATTATAAGTAAATGTTCTTTCTTAGCGGATATATCCGATTATATACCCCCCGCCGTACAAAGGGAGATGTTCTATTTTAACGAACAATTTCGGATCGTTATATAGGCAATTTAGCTAAGATATTTAGAAAATGGCCTTGATACGCGCAATGTTGATGTATTATTATATATACTTTGTATACACCATTTTATAACTCGATTTATAACTTGTTTTCTAATTTATAAAGTCACGCAGGCATCCATGGCGTAATGACAAGTTAGTTAATTCGGGATGACGAATACGAAAATATCCAATAAATTAAAGTGCTTCCATTATCTGATTAGTGATGATCAGTATGTAGATGTAAATTTTGTTACGTTCTTTATATTTTCTATTATTATTATTATTCTTATTAATTATACAAGTTTGCGCAATCGGTTTTTATAAATCTTTATACATACGCCGTTAAAAGATGTTTTATTGATTACGATTATTATTGTATTAATTATACTACTTTTAGAGTTTATGAATTAAGTCGCAAAACCTTATGTCGATGTACCTTATTTCGATATGTTATTCAATAATTATATACATCAAATTGTACATACATTACGCGTGTATAAATACGTAGAGAGGTATACTTGTATATATTATATAATGTATATTCATAATGCTCAATTCATTAACGTTTATGCATAAGTAATCTACATTTATTGAATTTAAACACGTGTATTGTACATGTGTAAACAAGGAATCTACACATGTCGTACACAATATAATTTCGATATCGCATATGTATACGCGTATACGTATATATCCCGAGGACATGTATTTAATATTAATTATGAACATTTAATGGCGCACTTGCATGTAATTTTATTGTAACTTGATATTATAGGAGTTTGCAGATGTCCCATTGTCCGACTAGGCAGTCCAATGTACACAACGAACAATATTACAATATTATAATACAGAGACGTAGAGAATATTGCACAATATATTATAAAGACGAAAGAGGCAATTCACTTGGAGAGCAAAAGAGAAAGTATTGTTCATAAGTTACTTTCTCTTTCGGAATTTCTAATCAAAATTTTTATCATTAACTTTATATTAAAGTAACACTCAACCGCGTATTATTAGAACATTCTTAGTTTTGTATTATGCTTCTAACTCTGACCAACGTGTGCTTAAGACGTTGCGCATGTAATCGTGGCATCTGCGAAATCCTATAGTGTGAAGAATTTTGTTGTCCTCGTTGAAATGCAAAGCAAACAAATATCAGAAAACCATTTATGTTTATTGCGCAACGATTGCAAAAGAGGTAACAAGTAAGCGATCCACCTCTGTCCGCGCGGATCGAGGAAAGAGCGTTGCCGTAAATGTGCGAGTGAATAATTTTCTGTGGCCATCAAATTATAGAGAATAGAATTTAGAAGAATTAGAGTAATCGATAAGAATTACGAAACTTATTGATTATGTTAACGAGGGTACACATTACCGGTACGAGGAAAGTGTGACTTAGAGATTCTGAACGTTCTATATGCGCGTACGGAGAGATATGTAATTTTATAGCTATTCATCCGGATGGAGACAAAGGTGGCTGGATATATTTTTTTATGTCAGTCACTTTGGCGTGAAAAACAAAAAAAAAGTGAACGACCGATCGACCATAGGATCGAATTTAATCGAATCTAGAATTATGATATAGTCAGGAAAAAAAAAAGATATCTCTTACACACTCTTTACGCGAGGGGCCACACTGCGCATGCTGTAACAAAATTCGGCAGTCTATTGTAGCGCGATATTTAGAAATCGGAGGAAAGATAGGGAATAAAACGCGAGATACATATATTATATACATATACATATTTATATGCAAGAAAAACTCGTCTAATTTGTGTTCACGCGGATCATTGGGAAATCATTATACCGTATCTTATACAAATTACTAATGTGTCATACGCACAACGTTAATGTTCTTGCATTTCGATCTTGCATATCCATCCCCGAATGAAGAACACGAATTTTCGTATTTCGACGAAACGGTTCTTGTTTTACGGCTCTTTCGGTTCTGTTCCGTGACGATTAAATTACATATACCTTATGTCCTACTGGAAGAAACTGCGTAGAGAAACTATTTATACACAGGCATACATATGTGTGTTTTATATGACGTATAATTAAGTAATTTATTATTAATGGCTTGCAAAGAGAAGTCACTGCTAAGTTGCGGGTAGTACATCAGATTGGCTGTAACGAGACGGGGAGGTGTGAGAGAGAGAGACTATAATTATTATCGTCGCTACTTTACATCGCGCGCGCAACACAAGATCAGGCGTGACACGACACGTGTAAGATCAACTTCCGCGTGATTATCTCGATCTTGATTTAACATCGTTTGTATTTGCATAAGGAGAATCACGAGTGTACGAAATACGTTTTTTTACAGTCTTAAATCAATAAGCAAGTGTGCAATATGATTAACATCTCGATGGATTAGCGTCTCTGTGGATTGTAAATAAGTTACTGCGCAATCTGACGTTCCCGTGACGGGTTTTTGCGGTAAAAGAAAGAAAAGATCATGTCATTTAAAGCTATACTCTCGTATACATAGAGACGACGACTCTCCTGCTGTTTTGCGCAGAGTGATCGGTATTCTGTCTAGGTTGCAGAGCAGGTACACGTAGCGTAGGAATGTAAGACAAAGATCCGAGTCAAGAGCCTTCGTTTAGACCAAATGTGTTTCTAGCACTTCTTTCGTAAGGGGGGGGGGAGGGGGGAAAAACTTTAGAATAGTCATTATACATATACCGATTACTACCGATACTACCTTTACACGCTACTTACGCTACTCGGTATTTTGTCACTAACGTAACGATGTTCCAACAAATTTATGTCGATGTTGTGTCCAAGCGTAATTTACACGTATTTACATAGGTATCGTTTAATATTTAAATAGCATACGAAACCTGTAATAAAATCCTTCACGTGGCTACCACAAATGTCGGGGTCTCTCTCTGTGTGTGTGTGCGTGCGTGTGCGTATGTGTGTGTGCGTGTGTGTGTGTGTGTGTCCCAAATCAGTCATTTCTATTTGCCGTACTCGTGAAGTTGATTCGCTACGATCGATTATGTCATATTAAATTTGATTTAATAGATCGTAAATAATTATTTCAACAGAAAATTAGAAATCGATCAATTTCGTGCAATCAAAGAGTTTATTGGAATTATTAAACAGGGAAGAAATATATATATGTGTATATTCCTTTTTTTTTTAATGTATAAATTTATGTAGTTTCTTAATTTGGCGCGAAACCGATCGATGTGCTGAATCCTTTGAACTGCCTCAGAACAGCATATAGAAAGTTGAAGCCGGGCGTAGTCCGTATTGTATTATTGCAGTTTTGACAGACGTGCACCTACTCCGTTCCAGTGCTGTAAAAACTGCTATACATGGAGATATCTAAGTGAAAAAGCATAATTTAAGCACCTTATTTAATCAAAATACTATAAATTTAGCTAAAAATATAATATTGACGTATTAAGTATTTTAACGGTCGAGATGTTTATATTATGTTTTTAACATTATATAGCAGCCTTTAGTATAATCAAATCAAATTAGTGCAAATGATCGAATTCGTTATTGCTACAGATACCATTATCATTTTTTCCACATTTATTATTTTAAAGGTAGAATAATTTTTTAAAAAGCTTTTTTTAGCACACAGCAGAATGTTTCGTATTAATATATTAATGAAAGCTTGACAAAAGCAATATTATATCTCAGTAATGCCTCTGAAATAAAATCGGTAATGGTATCAGCCATTATATTTATTATATATTATTTTACCATTATTTTGCTAATGTTGTAATTAGTTTCGATTTTTCCCCAAATACGGAGGGGACGCGCGTAAATAATAGACGAAGTTGTTTCATTTTTTTTTTTCCGTGACCGCCGTATTTATTTGACGTTTGACTACGCATCGATGCCATTCGTGCCGGCCACTTTAATGCAACAGCTGGTAGTCTTGATGTAGAAGCGCTTCTTTGCACGCGAGCGTATCAATTGAGCCCTGTCGGGAGTTTATTAAAGTTATTTAACACGGTCCTTTACGCACCGATGTACAGTTAACTGCACGTAAGATGCTATCTGGGACGCGGTATTCTTCCATCTCTGTTGCGTATGAATAATATAAATTTGCAAAGAACGCGTATTTTATGTACATAAAATTATAATAATTATATATTCCACACAGTGTGAAACATTCCAGCAATATCGCAACAACGTTGTAAGCTTTCTGTATTTAACTGGAATGCTACTATGATATTGCTGAAATATTGTCTGGATAATATATAATAATTATATATATATATATATATATATATAATTAAAACAAATATATAATAATCAAAAAAATGATTCAAAAAATTCCAAGAAACGAGCAAATTAATACAATATGATTGTAAAAATTAAAAATTTCTTTACTTAAACCTATCAATAAAAAACTATGTTTCGACTATACGGAGTCTCCCTCAACTGAGAACTTTACACATTAAGTCAAATAAATAAACACAAATTAAAATAAATTAAAAAATAGCACATAGTCACGTATTATAAAATAATTGAAAACGTTTATAATTGACGCGAATATAATCTTCCCTCACGATTATAAGCGTGTTTATTGTAATATACAGTCTCTCGTTATTTTATAATACGTGACTATGTGCTATTTTTTAATTTATTTTAATTTATATTTATTTATTTATTTATTTATTTATTTACTTAACTTAATATGTGAAGTTCTTCGTTGATGAAGATTCTGCGTAGTCGAAACGTATTATTGTTTTTTATTGATATGTTTAAGTAAAGGAATTTTTAATTTTTACAACTATATTGTATTAATTTGCTCGTTTCTTGACCTTTTTAAAAATCATTTTTGTTTGTTAATTTCACACACAAGCGTGTTTTTTTAATATATAATATTTATTGTAATTTGCAATTATAAACATTTCCAATCTCAATGAATTTTAAACGAATTCGGTCGCCGAATTTCTGCGTTTTTTTTTAAATAGAAATGATAAGTATTTTATCCTTTGAACCAATGAAATTTCGTATTAATATTAATACGAAATATTAACACGTCTGAACGGTTTCTGAAATCAAGGTACTTATATAAGATTAAATGATGTTTCCGAATCTCCGTGAGTCGATTAACGCGCATCGTGAGCAAAATAATATTTAATCTGGAATATTCCCACGAAATTTCGTATTAATATATTAATACGAAATATTAATACATTTGAATCGGTTTCTGAAATCAAAGTACTTTATATAAAATTAAGTGATGTTTCCGAATCTCCGTGAGTCGATTAACGCGCGTCGCGAGCAAAATGATATATAATCTGGAATATTCTCATCTTCCTTCTCATTTATTGATCACGCGATGAAAGAACTTTTACGTAATCGTATGATCAAAAGCATTTTTTTTCCTAAGGAGGAATAAAAACGCTATAAATTTATTCGAACATGACATTTCTTCGTGAATAGTTAGAAAATATATAAAAACTGGATAAGGATCGATATTTAAGAAGGAATCCTGTTGTGTTTAACGATTTCGGGAATCGAGAAACTTTTTTCATTTTTATGCGTACACGGTTGCAACGTAGACAAAAGACTTCTAATATTAGTTAGAGCATATATACTAGAGCATTATAGAGGTCTTATAGAGACGCGTGTCGAGAGCAGATTACGTAGAAATCTTGAAATTCCACGACGACAGTCGGCCCGGCGCGGCATCGTAACAGTACACACGGCGTGTACGCATACGTACGTGTGCTGCACGCCGAGCGGCGCCTGGAAATCACAGCGTCACCGGTGACTCAGGACCTTGAGGATCTATTTAGCGGAGAACGGCGTCCCGCTTGAAGAAATCTCATGCACGGGACACGCGGCGGCGGGCGCAAGTGCAAAACGCAGACGATCGCCACCACGGTTGTTCGCTGGTGTTAAGTAACTCGGACATGCGACAAAAGCCGTCCGACCGCTCGTCCGACTGGCTCGCCGACTGGTGGATTGCGAAGCGTCGTCGACCGGACCTTGCCTCGCCGTAAGTAATTTGCTGAATAAAACCGCCGAGAGGCTGCATCGTCCCGTCGTCGTTTCACGCGTATTTCTCATTTGCAAGTGCAAAAAAAAAAAATATTGGCGCAAAGTCAATGGGATATGTCACGCGTAGGGATGCGTAAGCCGCGCGGGACGTGGCAAATAAATATTTCCTCGCTTCCTTCGACCGTTGACCTCGTCGTGGGACAACGACGGTTGAATCGCGCTCGAGCGAGCTCTCTTTATCGTTTTCTTCGTTTTATTTTTTTCGCAATTTTGCGGTAGAGCGCGGCCGGGAACTGGTTCTCGTACTGCATACAACGTTTATCCATAAATCAGATGTGATGACTCGTGATAACTTGCAATTTTATATTTATTATTAGAAATACTGATATATGTACATATATATATAGATAGCAATAAATTCTTGAAGCGTGAAAACTTAAAACGAAAAATTAATCGAGATACAATACTATCAGTCTTGCCTAAATCTATTAGAATCGTATATTATTCTAATAGATTTAGGCAAGACTGATATAGTATTGCATCTCGATTAATTTTTCGTTTGAAATTTTCACGCTTTAAGAATTTATTTCTCCAAGCAGTTTTACATTTTTACATATATTTTACATATATTTTACATATAATAACATTATCAGTATATAACAAAAAGTACAGAGTGTCAAATGAAAATGACACTATTAAACCTTATAGTATCTTGTCGATTTTCACTTTTCACGTTTTCATCCTAGAGAAAACGTTACACGATCGTTACTCAGAAATATTAATGTTATTGCCATCACGTTTGATATTTTAATATTTTATGCTCATATCGAAATTACGATTCAACAATCATATAATTTCGAAGTTATCGAAACATGACTTTGTAGCTAAATCACAGTCAAAAGTCATGATTAACATCGAGTTGATGTCTTCGTATACAAATCGCTCCATTGTTTGCTAATTATAGAACGTATTGGAAAAACAATTTTTAAATCAAATGTACATTTCATTCATTTTAAATATGTACAGTCGTGGACAGATCGATTGCGACACTTTTTTTTTCTAGGTTTCAAAACGCACTAATATTTTGCAAATGCGAACCGCACGATTGGTGTTATACTGTCTAATTTAGACTAAAGAATAAAGATAGTACATCGTGGCTCGCATTTGCAAAATATTAGTTACCTATAAATATATATTAGATATCGTATATTAGAAACCTATAAGAAACCTATATTAGAAACCTATAAAAAAAGTGTTGCAATACCGATCTGTCCACGACTGTACACCAGCAGTAATCTTATTAATTATACTTTTAAATAAGACTAATGAACATGTTGTTTGCCTTCTGTCAAGGCAATGATAACATAATTTTTATACTAAGGATTTCCGCGTACCTACTTTTCCATCTTCTCGAAAAGTACAAATTTCACAAGTGGAGTTTATATTCGTGTGAAAAACGTGTAAAGAATGCGCGCGGGTGAGAAGGGTAGAACTTCTTTCGAAATACACCATTCAGCGTACTTCACGTGGCTCTTTCCCTCCCTTCCGCATTTGTTCGCGACACTTTTGAAGTCCACTTCAGACGATCTATTAGAATTCAGCCTTCACAGAGGAATCTATATACGTGAGACGCGTTCCCGTCTATCATTTTTTGCACCGTATATTTCGCATTGTAATGCATATTTTTTATACACGCGTGCGTTCTGATTCTTCCGCCTGATTTTCTCGTATTACACTTCGTAGAAAATTCGTCTCCTATAACGAGAGCGGACTTCGTCGCGACGCTCGCGAGCGCAGACGCGGAAGTGCGCGCACACGCTCTGCACGCACCCCCGGGGAAAAAAATAGGGGGATCCGGTCGCACGGCACGGCGCATTGTAACGCGTATGCCTGGCCTGCGTATATATCGCGGCCTCGCGTCTCGCTGCAGCGGACGCGCCCGGGAAGATTCCGTCGCCGCCAGACGACGCGCGTATACTCTCGTTCCGATTGATATACCGGGGTTGACACACCGGAACTGTCGTCGCCTATTGTAATAGATAAATTCGATAAATACTCGCTGCACACACTTTATCGCCGCCCGACGAGAGTCCGCCGTCACATAGGAACCTCGGACTTTACACGCGAGTTATTACGATAACGATTGATAATTACTCGTCCTTCGTGGTTTTTTTTATCCAGACGTTTTGCACGTATAATAAAGGCATAAGTATACGCGCTACCGCGTGCGTGGCACGTTGTGTGCACGTGCTAAAGGCGTGCGCGTGTACCGTAGGCACCGCAGCGTTACAATTTTGGCAATCCACCATCAGTCGACGTCGTGGTGTCGGCCGTGAGGTACAAATGGCGGCATTGATCGTCGCTCCGTTCGAATAACCGAGAGAGAAAGTGAGAGAAAATCGCTTGCCGAGACAAAGAATGCAAATTATTTCGACTAAGTGGAATTTGATCCTTTTGAAGCGGCACGAAGAGTGAGAGAGAGAAAAAAGAGAGAGAGAGAGAAAGGAAAGGTGGAAGGTGGGAGATGAGATAATTATGAGATATAATCGACAAACCAATCCTAAGGGATCGTCGATTATGCAGAGTCGGCAGAACCACTGAACCCGCTGAACCAATAAACGCACAGTGGTGGTACTCGTCCGGGTTGTCTGCCGGGTGGAATCTTTAAAGGGAATCGATTGGTAAAGATATTGATCGTGTGTGTACATATTAATATTAATGATTACAATATAAACTCCGAATTTAGAGATCTCGACGTTCCGCGTAAACCGTCATTTTCATTGTGCTGTACGAAGGAATTTTCCACACAGGAAGTAATTAATAATTTATTATATCTCGTTGTGTTATAGGTGTACGAGAGAAACGGAAGACTCTTTATCACAATGATGGTCAGGCCTTTGTGCAATGTCTTCTCGGCGAGGCAGATTAGCCTGTGCGTGCAGTCGCAGCTATCAAGACGTAACCCATATTCGGTAATTTATTTTTCCCATTTGCAATTGCAATGATAAGAAGCAAATCGCTTCGAAACAATTGTGTGTTTAATCGTACACTCGCTGTTATCATATATTTCTCTCAGGGTATCGGACAATTGACACGCTTGTTATCATCGCATCATGTCTCAAAGAATATTGAGTTTCTCACACAAGATAATCGTATCATCTCGTCTAAGAATGTTGCACGAAACATAAGTGTGACAAACAATCGTCCTTTGTTAGTTATTCTTACCTGGCTGTTATCAAAGCGACGACACGTTATGAAGTTTGTTAATTTATACATGGAACAAGGCTTCGACGTAGCAGTGGTATCTCTCACGCCTTGGCAACTTATGTGGCCTACGAAGGGCTCTAGAGTAAGTATATATACGTTATATATATTGCATGTCAAAACATCCTGCTTTACAGATTTATTCTGTAATTCTTAACGACACTGTCATTTTAATTTAAGTTTACAGAATAGATCTGGCTTTAAGTGAATTTTAGTCCATTTACAATCTTTGAATTACTTGTTTCCAGCTAGTGGCAGCAGATCTGCTGACTTTCTTAAAGCAGAACGAAAGCTACCAACAAATTCTGTTACACGGATTTTCGGTGGGCGGCTACATGTGGGGTGAAGCTTTGGACTTGATAGAAAGCAATAAGGACCAGTACTGTAACATTACAGACAGAATTGTTGGACAGGTGTGGGACAGTATAGCTGACGTCAGTCAGATCGCAATTGGTCTCCCTCGCGCGGTATTCCCGAAAAACATGGTGTTGCAGTCCATGCTACAGAAATATGTCGAGTAAGTAGAGACAGAGAGAGAGAGAGAGAGAGAGAGAGAGAGAGAGAGAGAGAGAGAGAGAGATCCAAATATCTCAAAAAATAAATATCTAAAAATAAATCTAATATCAACGTTACTTTCAGATATCATATGAAGACATTCCATCAGCAAGCGACACAATATTACATTCGATCCAGCCAGATATTTCATTCTGCCAGTGTGCTACGCGTACCAGCATTGCTGTTTGTAAGCAAAACCGACCCCGTCGGAGCTGTAACCAGCAATTTATCGGTGCGCGACAACTGGGAATCTTTAGGCATAAAGGTAAGGTATTCACGTTCGCTGGCTATCACGAAGGGACTCGCGTAAGAGGATTCACACGTGGCATTTATGTTACAGACGTACGTGAAGATATTCGACGAGTCGCCGCACGTTGCCCACTTCTACACGTATCCCAAGGAATACGTGGCCGAGCTCTACGCCTTCTTACAAAAGTTGAACTTAATACAAAACGAAGAGAAGATTAGAGCGCGTCTCTAAGTATCTCGAAAGCGCGCCGCAGTGTTTTTTTTTACACACGTAGACGTATTTTTTATATGCAGTTGCCTTTTCAATTACAATTTACTTCGTACATTTGTAACATTTAGCACCTGCCACATAATATACATAGACAATAGATGATTTTTTTGTATATTTAAACTTGTATGAAACTTTTGCAATCGACGCGAAGTTTGATGACACTGAAATAATACGGTTTTAAAAACGGTTTTAGAAATATATATTAATATATATATCTTAATCATATTTTTATACATTTTACCTTTGAAATAATTATGCACATAGCACAAATATGTGCATTATTATCTTTTATTACTTAAATACAAATTAATATATTTGGGTCCAAGATATACAACGTATTTTCATATCTTTTTTCTTTAAGAGAGAGAAAAGAGATTTTCACACATCTTTTTCTTTAACGAGTCTTAAGTTAAACAAGTACGGTGAAAAGATAACATTAGTATTACTTATTATTGTATCACGAGTTACATGACAGAGGCATAAGTGTGTTGTACATTTGGTGTGTCTTTTATTACATATATTTTATTACATATCAGGTCGTTTTAAGTCTCAGAGACTTTTTTTTTCTTTTCTTCTTACATTCCTGTTTCTCCTTGACGATATCTGCCTCATCCGGCGATTGGCCCCCTTCCAATTCTTCCAAGATTAACTTTTTTCGCTTATTGATCATCTTCTTTTCGTAAAAGTCAGTCTCGTCCAATTTGATTTCCGCTTCCCGTTTTGCCACCGATATTTGCGTCAAGATCGTAACAATTTCTTTATCTAGTATCAATTAAGAGATAACCAGATGAAATTTTGAATCACTTTTATCAAAAAGGGAGCACAAAAACGCAAAGTAAAACATGTACTCACCGTCTACCTTGTATTCCGTTAACTTGGTACCTATGGCGTCCTCGATCGCGTGCAATAATTTGATATCGTGTGGCGTTATCAAGCTTATCGCCATACCATTTTTACCGGCGCGAGCCGTTCTACCGACTCTATGAATGTACTCCTTCGGTACATTCGGCACTACGTGATTGACGACCAATTGTACCGTGGGGATATCCAGACCTCTCGCCGCGACGTCGGTGGCAATTAATATCTGTACGTGATTTGACTTGAACTTATTTAGCGCCGCCAAACGTTCCTTTTGCCTTATCATCGCGTGAAGAGCCACATTGGCAAATCCAACGTCGTTCAACGTCATGGATAATAATTGGCAGTGCCTAAATAATGATATGTGATTAGATCCAAATGCACAATTTCTCCTTTACCATCTTACATGACGGGAAACAATTGTTATTTTACTTGCAGGTATCCGTGAATATCATGATAGAGCCGTTCTTGTCCGTGGCGCGAAACGTCCTAATCACCTCTACCAGATACGAATCAAGCACATCCCTAGGACACAACACGTAACGTTGATCCAATTCCCTCACAGTGGCAATACCAGCGTCGTCTTTCTCTTGCCACGTAAAAACCTGGAGTTAAAAAATTCTATTCACGCCGATCGTAACGCGATACAATATATAATACATGTATGATTGTACTGTCGAAATGCACCTTTTCGGAAGCTATTTGCCTCACTTTGTCAAGCGTGTCGGTCATTGTAGCACTGAAGAACAATACTTGTTTCTCCTTGGGCAATGCGGCAAATATTTTCTTAAGCTGCTCGTCGAAGTGGCCACCGAGCAGCCTGTCGGCTTCGTCCAGCACTAGAAATTTGATCCTCTGCAAGGAGAACGTATCGCAGCTGTCCAAATGATCCGCCAGTCGGCCTGGCGTGGCTACAACTATATGCGGCCGTTTCGACAACTCCAATCCTTGCTCCATCATGTCCATGCCGCCGACGATTACACATTTCTTCAGATTGACAGCCTTGCCAATGGCGGCGAATTGATCGGCAATCTAAAATAATCCCATTAAATTTAATAAGATTTATTGTAATTAATTGCAAGAATGATACATGTACAAAATTATTCTCTATTATTTCAAATCTAAAATTACTATGTACATTACTTGTGGAACAATCTGACATGTATATATCTTGACATATCCTATACAAGATGATTTATATTACAAGTAATATAAGAAATTTTAAATCTTCTAAAATTACTATATTACTTATGGAAGAATCTAACACACATCCTGACATATCCTATACAAGAAGATTTACATTACAAGTAACATAAGAAAGTCTTAGAACATATATTACTGGAAGAAGAATAGAGTGCTGAATGTGAAGCCAACATCTGTGTGAGAGAGAAAGGTATAGATTCCCAATTGTATGTAATGCCCATTCAGCCCCCACTCAGCCCATTTTGCCTAATTTCTTATTTTTCTAAAATCTTTTAAAAAAAATGAAAAATGGGGCTAAGTGCACAGATATTGGCTTCAGCTCGAAGCATGGACGGTATAGGCGATTCTCCTTTCATTAATATATGTTCTAAGAAGAAAGTAGAATTTCTCGCCTGAAAGGCTAGTTCCCTCGTTGGTGTCAACACAAGAGCAAATATGCCATACGGATCCTCGCATAACTTTTGCAAAATAGGCAGGGCGAATGCCATCGTTTTGCCGCTGCCAGTCTTCGCGCAGCCTATGCAATCCTCGCCCATCAGTATTCGAGGGATGCAATTCTGCTGGATTGGAGTCGGTTTACTCAAGCCTAAAACAAATTATAGCCGTGTACTTTCCTGAAACTGTCAATTTCGCAAAAATTCGTGCGTCTCGAATAATCCATCAAGTGCGCCTTGTAACGTGCAATGCTGTATCGGAGCATGCTTTGAAAAAAAAAGTTTCTTCGTAATAAATTATTGAATTCTTATCGAAGATTATTTACCCATAGACTGGCATTGCGCGAGGAGCCAGGAATTCAGCTTCAAGTCCGAGAAATCTTTAACTTCCACGCTCATGTTGTAACGTTGCTGCGTCTCGCGATGTCGACCGATGCTGACTCCAGCTGACTCGAGCTCATTCTTAGCACGTGCGTGCAGTCATATTTGTTGTCACTTTCGAGCATCGTTATCTTCCGTTGGTAAGTTAGATTCCCTTCGTCGATCCCCTTATCGATTGAGTGATGAGTTACGGGCGACATCTCGGCGAACACGTGGTATCGCACTCGCGATGTCATTCTAACTCCGCTTCGTCTGCTTCGTCAGCAATCAGCATTCTCGTCCGAGAGGCCAGTCGCGTTGCGTTCACCATGGCGGTAGTTTAACTTTCGTTCTTCCAAAACTCTCCCGAGTCAATTTCACATTCTGCTGCAGTGCCAGTGACTGTGAAAGGAACGTAACTCAGCCCGCGCACATTAACACCATCCCGTTCCCATCCCTCTTTTCCTCGCACATCTCGCTCGCAAAGACACAAAAAGTCGTCGAGAGGTTAGGCGCGGTTTTCAGTGAAAGTGTTCACGTATCTCGACCCAATTAGAGCCTCTGTTTCTCTCTCTCTCTCTTTCCTCCACATTCCTATGTTCCTCGTTAATTTCTCGATCTTGATGTCTGGTACCTAATATACATTCCAAAGTTCGACGCTCGAATTGTGTCTGGTGTTCGAAACGCGACCATGAACGGCGATGAGAAACGTGACGTAATCCGAGTTGGATCTCGGAAAAGCGAGGTAAGGTTTCCGCACGATTTCGACTTTGCTGCTTGGCAGGAAAACTTTTTTTTTTGTTCTGCAAAAACCGCGGATCGCGCGAACGGATCTCGTCTTCGATGTCGATCGATGATCCTCGAGATGACTTTCGTTGCGCTTGCGAGCGCGAGAGCTCCGGGTCATGTAATTGTTATTTATTACGTGTATTACATCTCGAGATTGAACTCCGTTCTCCTTCTAAACGACTGATTACATGTCATTTCTTATCGATAATAATTAAATTTTACGTAATCCGTTGCTGCGCGTCTTGGCGGCGCTTGTGCCTCTACGCGCGATTACTCAGCGGTTTTTAAAATTTTTTCTTCGTTATAATGACGATTCACGATGATTCGGTAATTAATATGTATGAAATGTTTATATAAAAAATGTATTAGAATTGCAAAATAATTTTTTTCTAAATGTTATTGAAATGCCATTTTTATAACATTACTGTTATACAACTTCACACATTTAATTATATATCTTTTTCTTATTGTATTTTATTATACAATTGCAAGGAAGGGAGATTGCAAAGAAGCATTTTTAGCTCGAAAATGAATAATGTATATTTTTAAATCTTGTAGTTTTTTTTTAATTTTTTTCTTTGTTATAATGACGATTCACGATGATTCAATAATTAATATGTTATCAAATATTTGTATCAAAAATATACTAGAATTGCAAAATAATTTTCTTCTAAATGTTATTAAAATGCCATTTTATAACACTATTATACATATTTATACAACTTTACATATTTAATTATATATTTTTTATTGTATTTTATTTCATGAGATTGCAAAAAAGCATTTTTTTAGCTCGAAAATGAATGTTTTTTTTTTAAATCGTTCAGTTTTTTTTGTTTGTTTCTTCGTTATAGTAACGATTCACAATGATTCGATAATTAATATGTTATCAAATATTTGTATAAAAAATGTACTAGAATTGCAAAATAATTTTCTTCTAAATGTTATTAAAATACCATTTTATAACACTATTTTATAACACTATTTTATAACATTATTTTATAACACTATTTTATAACACTTTTATATAATATTATTTTATAACACTATTATACAACTTTACATATTTAATTATATATATTTTTTATTGTATTTTATTTTATGAGATTGCAAAGAAGCATTTTTTTAGCTCGAAAATGAATAATGTATTTTAAAATCTTTCAGTTGGCCATGATACAAACTAAACACGTGATACAATGTCTGAAAGAAATTTATCCGAAAAAAGAATTCGAAATAGGTAAGATATGCAGTTCAACAACTTATCAGTTATTCTGAGTCACTTTTTGTTCTGAAGAAGTCTAAGAATCTAAGAATTCAATGTAACTTCACAATTTCAATATCACGCGACAATTTCACAACTTTTCTTCCTCTTTTTGATTGCATATCTACTACGTAATGTATTTAAAGTATCTGAAGTAATAGTTAATAAGTTAATAAGCAGCTTTCTCTTGCTACGCTCATGTTCCATGACTGGCATTTAATGAAATGCTACTCGTTATCATATTTATTTGTCAGCAAAAGAGCATGCCGAGTATGTCGAATATCGGATTGTTTATAAAACAAGAAACTTTTTATCTTATCAAATCGAAATCGAATTGCAGTAACGATGAGTACTAAGGGAGATAAGATTCTGGACAAGTCTTTGCCGAAGATCGGGGAGAAGTCTTTATTTACGGAAGAGCTGGAGCTGGCTTTGGAAGAGGGTCGCGTTGATTTCGTCGTGCATTCACTGAAAGATTTGCCAACGACGCTGCCGGCAGGAATGGCCCTAGGCGCAATATTAAAGTGAGGCGCAGTCTGTTAAACGCATCGAAAACTCGAGCTGTTTTCTCGTAAATTAATGGCAATAATTATATTCGTTCTGCATACTCGTCTTTTTTTTCGCTTCAGCAAGAGTTGACTTTGCTATTTTGCACATGTCTCGCTATTCCCAAGATGGAGGCTTATACACATTTTAAATTCAAATGCACTTTATCGCATTCTGTCGTTCTTATGAAAGAAACATCCTGCCTTTATTTGTAGAACCATCCTTATTGGGAATCCCATTTTGGTACGCGCGCAAACTGTATGCAATATCAATTGCTTGCAACACGGAAACTTCGACCTTGACGCTTCCTTATCAGAATTATCTTCAAGCTATTAGTTCATACTTTTAAAATAATTATACGATAATCACCTTCAAATTAGTATTCGCTCGAGCTATTAAACTAAATGCCTGGTAGTTGCGAAACGAGTGCACAATTTGCGAGTGCACGAGTGTACATTTGCAAAAAATGAACTCTATAAAATATTTATATTCTAAATTATACCGTAAAACGTGTGTTAATATTCATTAAGGTCAATAAAAAATTAATAATTTTTGCAGACGCGAGGATCCACGTGACGCGGTGGTCATGTCGAAGAAATTCAAAGACAAGACATTGTCCTCATTGCCAAAGGACAGTGTCATAGGTACTAGCTCTTTACGCAGGTCCGCGCAATTATCACGGAACATGCCGCATTTGAAGGTGGAAAACATTCGCGGTAACTTGAATACCAGATTGAAAAAACTAGACGACGAAAATGGGCCTTACGCCGCGATAATTTTAGCCGCTGCTGGTTTAAAGCGAATGGGCTGGGAAGACAGAATAAGCCAGGTACGGATGATCTCTCGTCTCACTTTCCACTCTGGTATATTCTGTAAAATTTGCTTGGACTAATATATGTATTCCCACTAGCTTCTGGAACCCGAGGAAGCTCTCTATGCCGTCGGCCAGGGTGCGCTGGGCGTCGAATGCCGAGAGTCGGATTGGGATATACGTTCGATCTTGGAGCCGTTGTTCGATTTAGAAACAACACTGACATGCGTATGCGAGCGTTCATTTCTGAAAACTCTCGGCGGCGGATGTTCCGCGCCAGTCGCGGTGGCTTCGTCTTTGGAGAAGAACGAGTTGACGATTACCGGTGCTGTGTGGTCTCTAGACGGTCAAACTCTGATTACAGATACCTGCAAAAGCAAGTTGTATTTACCCGATGACGATGGCGAGCCTCCTCGGTGAGTTGAATATGATTTTTGTACGTTACGTTAGATTTGCACACACATGTCAATATTCATGGCTATGCCAGCAGTGAATATCTTTGAGCACAATGCAGATTTTATTTATTTTATATTTCGTTTGACTCGTTTTTTTTTGTTTTACGATAGGAAATGCCCATATCAGGAACCACGCCTTTATTGTAGCGTTGTTCCCAGTAAAATAAGCAGTATAAGTCTTCTCGGTGCAGAGGTTCTTGGTAAAGATCTGGCTAAGAGTCTTATAAAGAAAAATGCCCTCGACGTAATGTCGCAAGCTAGAAATGAAATCCTAGATTCAAAATAATTGTCAAATACGATTTTTGGTTGCAAATGTGCCCACAGAGAGAATGTGTATTATTAATGTGAATGACAATTAATTAATAATTCCCCCGATCTGTCGACGCCCGATGACTGTGTGAACACCCGTTATATATTTCTACTTGTGCATGCTCAAGATGGAAAACTCGATTTAAGTTCAAATCATATTTATTGTTATTTCATTTACTGTTGCTGTCCTGAATTCGCGTATGTCGTACACATTTTGTTCATTCTATTTAACGAGTCCGGAAAAGTACAAAGCAATTGTAAATATAGCACTGAAAAATATTGGGAATAATCGTGTAAAATATATAATACAATGTGTTTCTGTTTTGATTAAATTGTACTCACGAATGATGTGAGGATTATTGTTATATGTTCAAATGTATGGCTATGTAAATAACCCACGTTGTTGATTGAACCAAATATTATATTATATTATAATATTATTATATTATAATTATATTATATTATAATATTATTATATTATATTATATTATAATATTACATATAAATTTTATTGTTGAAAAATAATAGTTTATTGCAAAACACTGCCATGTACAGATTGTTAACAATTAATGTGATATATACATATAATGCCGTTTACATCAAACAGATTGTAATAGTCAAGTTTTGTACGTGCACAATTTATATAGCTCATGATATAGCATACTGTAAATCTTTGATTTTGTTGAATTTTTTGAATGCCTCATTTTAAGAGAATAACTCAAAATTTTATTTCACATTTCGAAATGTTATTAATATATATAAAGTTACAAAGTATCAAGAGCATTGTGTAATTTCACTGTTCATAATTGGGTTTTCCGTCTGTTATTTATGTGCCGATCATAAAAATATTCTTGGTACTTGTGTGCGAAACACGTATATAATTGTATATAGATAAGACTGTAATGTGTAGGTATGATTATGTATGTGGGAATTATTAAAGCTACAATAGAGAAGAAATTTATACACGTATAAATAAAGAAGTTTTATATTTTATCTCGACTGTGTCTTATTTCAAATAGTAATTTAATGTACGCTTAAAATATGTTCCCGAAGTATTCCTGTGCGCACAATAAATATTTTCTATTTATTTTTATTTCTTCAATTTGTGCTAATTTGATAGAATCTCTTTTCAAGTGTATCTCTTTTATAAGAATATAATTTATCATATCGAAAGTAATGTGTATCTGAATTGTTTATTATGTTAGAGAGAGATAGAGATAGAGAGTTAAATATCTTGGGATATAACATGTATCTATATTTAAAATAATTTATAGCGTTTATAGCATTTATAGCATTTGTGTAATGACATTAGATTTTATCTACAAAATACATATTTCTGCACAAATTCATAGCGATACACACATCGTAAGATTTACAATAATCTTCCAACTGTGATACATACTTTTGTAAATGCCTCCAGAATATAATGATACATCTGAGAGCACAGGAGGTAAATCTCTCATATTTTTTTTTTTTGTAAATGTTGAATGTGCAATATACTGAATATGTCAACATCGTAGCTCACGACGATTACAATAATTGTTTAAGATTACAATTGGATCCACAGATTGTGGCGTTGTACTAGTCACTTTTCCACATTTACTACACCAAGGTAAGGCAACGTATATGCTCATCAGTATCGCAAATGTGATAGTGACAGCGTATTCTACTGAACGCAACTTTAATCAAAACATTACTGATTTATTTCATTAGCGTCAACTCCTGAACACATATATGCGACATATGCTGCTCGGAATCGGACTGAAACACTAACTATATGTAATCTGCTTAGAAATTTATATTTTGATGGAACTTGTAACCTGTGTACAATAACTCGTTTAACTATTATAACAAATCAATAATATACATATAGTATGTATAAACAAAGTAACAAAAAGAAAATTTCTTGGTATTAGAAAAATATTATTGGTAAAAGCAGGATATGCGAACGTGAATCGTTAAGGACAAATTACACATTTTTCTCATAGAATATAAAATCAATACAAATAAGAAAGAGTGAGTGACTGCATACAAAATGCTGTGATAGTTACATCTGAATAGATTTTAAATCCATTAAGATTACGAATATTTCAATAATGTGCAAGATTTTGTATTGAATATATACTTTTCACGGAAATACTTAGAGCCTTATGTGTACCTCAGAGATCTTTACATCTTTTTTTTAAGAACATACAACAATTGTATTGCGGAGAAATTAAATCCTGATTTGACATCAGAATAACTATAAGCTTTATATCTGTCAAAAATTGTCAGAATCGCTATTCGATAAAATTTATTTTATTCAAATAAACGGACATAAAAATATATATATCCGCTTATAATAAAATAATGAATGTTTGTAAAAATTTCTTACATACAGTTTGGTACATGCACGTCTACTTAAGAAAAATGGAAGTTCGATACAGGACAACGAATTGTACAATTGTAGGATTTTTCTAGACGGTAAACTATATTCGCACTCATATTGTGCAAAAATGAGCAGAGACTCCTCGCTAATTTCAGATTCAAATATTGTCAACGAAACTTTATATTCCTCTACTCAACGTCCTCCTCCGCCATTTGAGTTTGCGATACTATCTTCTGTAAAAAAAAAAGCAGGTGAAAAGAATGTTGCCTCATTTCAATATAATATTTCTTCTCGACTGATTCATACCTGGCCGACAACTGGTAGTCGCTGCACCAGAATTTGGAAGATTGGCGGCGGCAGAGTCTTCTGGAGTACTGTCAGCAACTGAGCTGGCTGTCCACAGACCGCCACCGCATTGGCCAAGTGCTCGACTCCGCCGTCTATCTCACCGACAGCAAGCAACTCCTCGCCGAGTTGTACCTGAACCGCGTGATACATCGCATGTTTGAATACGCGCTTCAAGAAATCGAGACCAGACGGTAGACAAAATCGACGAGATTTACCTCTTGCAAAAAGAACTTCTGCACCAATTCGTGATCCCTCAAATCCGGTATCTTCGAGGTAGCCTTCTGCGCCTGCTTCTTAGCCCTTCTACCTGTAAAATAAAAACGAAGCTTTCTTCAAAACAAGAGCTAAGTAAAATCCTTCTACAGCCTCGACCACCGCAGGTTACATATTTACAGTTACAATGCAATCGATATTACAACGGAATGATTCTTTATATATAAATAGCACGTCTTGCACGCTAAGCGTGTGCACATGTACAAAATGGACTGTGCGGCGACGGATCTGCGGTGCCGGTTGTCGAGAGGAACCCGTGCTCGTCTTCACGCGCGAGGCGCGCCTGGCTCGTCCCGAAGTCGGTGCGTCGGCACGAGGAAGTCGGCACGCGCGCTCCGACGAGGATACGCGGACACGGAAGAGAGAGAGAGCGGAGGATCATCACGGGACTCACGTTCGCGGAGCTTCTTTTTGAAATCGGGATCACTGCGGCGCTTCTGGTCGAAGTAAAAGCAGTAGCCGACGAAGATCCCGGCGATCCCGACGGCGATACCGACCGCGGTTTTGGAGATCATGGTCATTCTAATATACAAAAACCCCGAGGTATCACAGAAAAATTCACGAGGTCCTCGTCGCGACCTCGGCCATCATGGGAAAAGGGCTGCTCTCACTGTCGTCGTGCGCGCTGCTGCTGCTGCTGCTGAACGTGCCCGCGAAACACGTTTGCGCGCAGTTGCGCCAACTTAACGTACATACATCATTCTGGACAAAAATTCTAGTTTCTTTTTCGTACATACGTCACTTCGGGGAAAATTCTAGTCCCTAGATGCCAGTGCGTCCCGAAACTCGTCGTCCTCGTCGAGAGAAAGCATTTTTTTTTACTCTTTCCGCTGCCAGATGTGTGGATTGGCGTGGATATTTAAATGTTTATACGTTTCGTATTTAAATATTTTTCCGCTGAGCTCACATATAAATTAGATGCGTGAGAGAACAAACAGATCCGATTTTCTGTTCTGATCCGCTACTTTTGCTACTTTGAAATGAAACGGCTGCCAATTCTCATGTTTATATTTTGCGGGAGTAGGGGAGGGAGTAACCACAAAAACTGGAGTAAAGGAACGCACGGTTAAAAAGGCGCGCACAATTCATTGCACGACTGAAAATGTAAAGCGAATGAACCTCGAGCAGGTACATACGTTTCTTACACTGCTTATACATTCATTTCGTTTTTCTTTTGTGTAAGCTAAGCAAGCTCTAACGATAATATTCTGAAACATATTTACAGGTTGAAAGACACAAGTGCCTTTGATAGTTTTTATCACGTGAATATCGGCGGTAACCCGTGAGCATGTCATTGATAAGGAAACCCATGCGATACGCTCATCAGGAAGGGCACACCGACGTCTGCTATTATTCCGGCGAGAGGTAAATGACAACACGTATATCGCTCTCTGTGCACATGTACAGAAATCTGTCGCGAGAAAGTTAATGATGATCGTGTCTGTGATCGTAGGAGAGGACTCATCACTTGCGGATGCGATGGGGACGTTAGATCCTGGTTAGATTTGATGGACGATGACCCGACCACCAGTTGCATCTCGGAACAGGCGATCACTGCTATCTCGAAGGTGCTTGATAAGTTGCCAAGAGCAAATTGCCATCAGTGAGCAGCATGCTTCAAAAATGTGAAAGACTGCACTTAAAGGAGACGCGACTGTATAAATAGTAAAGCTTTTGATTTCAGGACGGCAAAATTTTTGTGGGAAATGACAATAACACCGTGCAAATTCTTACTTATCCCGATTTAGAGAAGGAGGGAATAGTCACCAGATTCTCGGCGCCGGTCTCAGCATTGGCAACGGCGAAAGACAGCAGTTTAATAGTATCTGGCGCCTGGTATGACGAGCAAATTTGATATTCGTTATATATATTTTGTATACACAGGTTGACAATTTTTCAGCAACTTGATCTTTTTTTTTAAGCGATATGCGGATACAAGTCACAAACATTAATACCTCAGACAGCATAGAACTGGAAGGTCACGAAGCACCTATCTTAGGCTTGTCTTTAGACCCAAAGGAAGAGTTTGTGGTAAGAATCCGTTATATCATTCTCTAATGTTTTTATCGATAATAAAAGCGATAATGAAATCTCAGATTTGAAACTGATATTTCCAGGCGTCTTCCAGCGCCGATGGATCCATTCGTGTATGGAACATTAAGGAAAAGAGAACCGTACATGTTTGGAATAATGTTGTGCCAAAATGTAACTCCTTTTTTACTGCGAAATCGTATTGCACACCCTCCTTCAAATGTACAGACGGCAGCAGCCTAGCGTATCCATCTAACAAGGATGTAGTTATCATGGAGAGATCGTCCTGGAAGGAATTGTGTAGACTGAGGTGTCCCACTTTAAAGACTGTAAGTCTGCTGTCTCCGTTTTTTTTGTCTATCCTGTTTTTAATTGATGAATCATTGTTTTTTTTATTTTCATGCAGGAGCTCAGCATTTGTAAATTCTCCGAGTGTGGCACGCGCATCGCCGCTAGTTCACTGTATGGTGAGATAGTTGTGTGGAATGTAGAGACCAAGGAAGCGATTGGATATCTCGAACATGAGCAAGATACCAAAATCACTGCGTTGGCGTGGCACATAGATCATTCGAATGAAATTGCATTCTGCGATGCCTTGGGAAAATTAGGATGCATTGATGTGGTAAGAGAATATATTGAATATATCTGTATACATATTTTATATATATATATGTGAATGCAGATTTTATTAATAATTTAGGATATCTGTAATAATCTTTTTAGAAAAGTACTAGTAAGCCTAGAAATGAAGCCTTTGATTTTGAGAAAAATGAAGATGTGTTGGAGAATGATATTGCTTTACCGGACGACGAGGACGACGATGGAGAAAACGTGATATCCCTGAATAAAATTAAGGCCTCCGTCAATCTAGAGGATGATGAGATTAGTCATTTGGATGCAGATTCTGAAAAGCCTCCATGTGACACAAAATCTTTTATACCTAACGTGAAATTGCAGTCACCTTTCCAACCAGGATCCACACCCTCTCACTTGTTATCATATTTCATGGTACAGTACAATATTAATTTATGCATGTATAACACTTATAACAATCTTTAAAGATAAGTTTAATCTTTGTGCAATTTTCACATAGGTGTGGAACGATGTGGGAATGGTCAGATGCTTCTCATCGGAGGACGGGGAAGAGAGCAGCATTGAGGTGGAGTTTCATGATGTCACGGTTCATCGCAGCATGCATATAAATAATTATTTGCGACATTCTTTAGCTGCCCTATCGACCCAAGCACTTGTTCTAAGCTGTACCTCTTCTGAAGATGACCCTAGTAAGATTGTCGTAATAGCTCTGCAAGGTTAGTTATTTTGATTATTTTATCATTTACATATAGTAATTTATAATTGTATATGTTAATACTTCAGCATCCAGAATTTAAAACAAGAAACAAAATTATGAATGTCGATATTTAGAGAAAAGGGATTTTATTTTATAAATTATAAAACAAATTCTCAAAGTGTCCATTGTGGCATTATCTTTTGTTCAGTTTGACACCTATTATTATCTTGTTTTATTGATTTCTATTAACATGCCATGCCGCGTGGGTTACTGGTGACAAGTTATAAAACTGGTGATAAATTTAAATATTTTAAATAAACAATGTTTACTTTGTTCTTTTTCTTCTGCTCGTTAACTGTTATTAACACATTTCCATATCGCACCAGTTTTATGAGTTATCACCGGTGACTCACGCGAAATGGGATATGTTAATGGAAATCAATAAGATTAGATAATAATAGGTGTCAAAATGAACAAAAGATATAATTGTGTGTAATAGTAAATATGTGCATTATATCTCAGCAGTCTTGTCCAATTATTTTAAAACATAAACGAATATGGAAGACATTTAAGTTTTGCAAATTTAGCTATTTATTTTTTATCTAAAAAATGTACATATATATATTTTTTAGATATATATGAAATACATAATAAATTCGGTTGTTTTTCTGTATCAGGTTGGGGCTCCGGAAATAAAGAATGGTCTTTGGATTTGCCAGAAGGCGAGGAAAACGAATGCTTAGCGGTCGGTGATAATTTCGTTGCAGTAGCAACATCTAGGAGAAATTTAAGGATATTTATGATAGGAGGGACACAACGTGAAATTTTAGCTATGCCCGGACCTGTAGTTGCGATGAATGGTCTAGGAAATCATCTTGTGATAGCTTATCACGCTGGAATTGGTAAGACAATTTTCCATTCAGTTGACATAATTAAAAGTCCGATAATTTACATGTATGTATTTAATTACATATGTATTTAAGGCGTTTAATTTTTTTTTACAAAAAGGTCCAGCAGGTGATCAGAATATAAATCTATTATGGATACAAATACAGGGAGCGCATTTACGCAGTCAAACTCTAACGCTTCCGCTCTCGCCAGCATCGGATCTCATGTGGTTGGGATTATCGGACGCTCGTTCACCCACTGTCATGGATTCCGACGATGTTATCAGGATATACGACAGGAGATCTTGTCAATGGAGAGTGCTCCGTGACGCGAATGCACAGGTATTGCAAATTACGGATAAATTTTTCAAGTTTTTTTTCGGTGCGCGTAACATGAGATTTCTCGCTTTAGGGAAAAGGTAGAGCGGATCACTATTTCATAATCGGCGTGAGCGAGTACGAACGGAATATGCGGTGTATTCTCTGCAAAGGCAGTTACTATCCGCCGACAACCCCGCGACCGATAATCACCGAGGTATCTTTATCTACACCCCTGTGCGAACCGGAATCTGAGAAAACTGAGAAGGAACGTAAACTGTGGGAGATAGGAAGCAGTCCGTTGGAGGAAACTGAAACGATGTTAACTTTAATAGCGGTAAGTAATTTTAATAATACGTTCGTTTCCATTCTAAAACTAGTACTTTTATTAGAAATTTGACACATTGAATCTTTCTATCTCTTTGCTGATAATTAATGATACGTAAATCTCTCGCAATCAGCTTGCCTGCAGAAGCAACTTGGAGTATCGCGCAGTGGATATTTGCGAACAGATTGCGTCGACGAAAGTGATAGACTTGGCTGTACGGTATGCCTTGCGTGTAAATAAAATGGCATTGGCAAATAAACTGGAAACGATCGCTGACGCGAAGTCCAAAGATACAAAAGAAGACGATACGGAAAATCAGCAAGAAAACGATTTTGCGAGCAACGGTAATTTTAGCGTCGATAGTCAAGAGGAAGACGATGTGTCTTTACTGCCCGTTAAGAAACCGGAGATAGAGATTAAGCCATTGGCCATGAGTCAAACATTAAAAAGAGTAAATCCATTTTTAAAAGCCGGAAATCCATCTCTATCGCCAAGAGGTAAATAATTTTTGTTCCTTTTTTAGATTCTATAACACTTTTGCTCTGTCATTAAAAAAAAAATTTTGACTGCATTATCACAGGTTTAGCTGGTTTAAACAGTTTACCAGAGAAACCCCAGAAACCCGCGTTAACGAAAGTCCCGCCTGTTAAAGCGAAGTCGAAAGCTGAGCCTAAGAAAGAGTCGTTCGTCAATTGGTATGCCAAAAATAAGAAGAGTCTGCAGGAAGAATTTCCCGAGGTAAACGTTGGTGAATTAACTAAAATCGGTTTGGCGCGTTACAAGGAAGAGACGGCGCAGTCGAACGGAGACAGCGCGGCTGGACCGTCAGAACTCTTTAAGAAACGGAAATTATCGAGTCCAGACAACGAACACACTAGCGAAGCGAAGCGATCTGTCAGCAGCAAACTCAGTGAATTCGCATTCGACAAATAAATTTTATTCGGCCACGCAAATTGTTTTATATGTGAAACTTGCTAGATTTTTGACAATTTAACGGAGATAAGAGGAGTGCACACATTTATATTTTCGAATCGGAGTAGTCACAAAGAAAAGCCTGATGACCGCAGAGATCTTAACGATTCTTTTCTCGGGTATGTTTTTATATACTCTTAGTCTACATCACAAGGAATTTTCAATGTCGGATAGATCGAAAGAATCGGAACACCTTTTTTAACATTCTAGAGAGATTAAAGCATTTATAATCAATTTTATCGTATTTTTTTATTAATTTTGATATTAAAGTGTATCCATTGTAAAAACGTCTTGTATCCTTTTGATCTTCCTATATCGACGTGTTTATTTGTATTATGTCACTTGTGCGAAAAAAATTGTAGGAAAGCGAGGTTTGGCACATGGTACAACCAGCGTTGCGAGTACGATCAATAGCTCTATATACTCCTAGGTGCAGAGGCGCGGAAGTCTCTGAGAAGGTGAGACAGGTCGTTTGTTGAAACGGCGAGAGTGTATTAAACGCGATAAGTGGATAATGATCGGATATGAATTCGTGTCTTTCAAAGAGTGTGTGTCGCGAGCGCGCCGCCCCACGGTTCACCCTTCCGCGCCGATAAGGCAGCGTGGTGGCAAACTTAAGATTCGTTTTTAGTTTGCTCCGATCTCTCGGGCACTCGGCATCACGCGGCGGTGGAAATCGCACGTCGAAAATAAATTCCTGCAGGCTGCTCGGGCTGAAGAGAAACGGCGAGGTGTTGTCAGCGATCGGCCGCACGCACGATGAAAGGTAAGTCGATCCTCCTCTCGCGAGAGCCCGCGACGGGAATTGTTCGCGGGAGAACTCATCCGGAGAACTCCGGGGAACTCGGCGCGCTAAATATACACTCAGACGACGGTCAGTGTATGGCATGCGGCATGTGTGTCTTCAAATTGCATCACCGCCGCGATGTGCACGTGCCGTGCAACGGCTAATTTCCACGGTGCGTAATCTCGCGGTGTATGAGCACTCACGTTCCCCGTTTCAAATGTGATTCACTGTGACAAGAGATTCATGTAACTGGTCACTGATTTTTCATTTCGATTTTTTTCTCTCTACTTTTTCGGGGCAAAAATCCAGCGAAACTTTTCTCCTACACTGAGAGGGAAAAAAAATGTAAAATAAAAAAAAAATATATTTCTTGGTCTAACTATACACATATGGCGGTCACAGGCTGTCAAACAATTACTGATTAATTTAATAAAGTACTTGTTAATTCACAAAAATATCATGTTAATATTGTTGACGTATTGTTTAACTCGAAAGCGTATATAATATTGAATTACTAAAGAAAAACTGTCAACAAAACGTATTTAATTATTTTAACAACTTTTTTCAGTGTACGTGTTAGCCTAGTTTTCCTATCATTTCAAAGACTTCTTGTTACAAAACCGATTAATGACGATAACGAAGTTAATTAAATATTAGCTTAAAAGTGTCGCTATCTTTTAAGATACGACAGCCGTTCAATGACTTATCTAATATATATCATTTATGTGTTATCTAGAACGAAAGAAAATGTCTGAATTACTTTTAAAAATCGCTAAAAGTTTCATTAATTACAATATGACGCATTATATAGCTTGGTGATATCTCACATAGTTAATGCGTAATATATGCTACATATTTTCTTAATTTATGCAGATATAAATCCTCTCCATATTTCCAATTATTAGACGAAGTGATGTTTCATTACCGAATTTAATCTTAACTTAATGAAAGAGAAGTTAATTACAATATATGTTAATATTAATATTTCACGCATTTTGCAGCGGAAATAATTGACGTTTAACTGATTCTTATTTCGAGAAAGCAGCGGAAAAAAAATGCAACGCGACATTGAGAAAAATTGGCGTGAGTTTGGTAATGGTATTGTTATACATTTGTGCAATGCTCGTTTTAATCTAACGACGCTATTTTATTTTCAATGATGCTTACTGTTTACCATGATATGTATCTTGATCCGTAATATGTATAATTCGATTATTATTATCGCGCGCCTTTTTAATTTGCGGTTTAAAACGGTGGATAAGCATATCCGCTCGTTTCAATTTTGCTGAGTGAATCGCATTCACGCAGGTAATTCTCGCTTATTAAATAATAATTCTCGCTTTTGCGACGCTACATGGCGCAAACAATCGTTACGTAAACAACCATAAATTCGATGATATTTCCATATTTATGACAGAATTCCTCGGACATTCAAAGCAATTTAAAGTTGCATTCTGTAAGGAATGCGATAAGCTGATGCAGACATTTTTTTCATTGAAAGTTTATCGTTTTCCAACTGATTCGGGATTTGTACGTGCATGACATGGATTTCACGTGCATTTTTAATAAACATTCATAATATGAAATATATATTGCAAAGGCAGGAAGAGAAAGACATCGGGTTATTTCTTATAATTGTATCTATAATTATTGGTAGTAAGCAAAACTTTAATTATTGCGAACATTTTTATGTAATATTGATAACGAACGAAGTTTTATCTTTACATAAAAATTACGTTAAAACTGTTTTTTTTTTCTATGCGAATAGTACGTGTCCGGCACGCAAACCGGACACGTAAGCTCTTCGGATATTTCGATTTTTTTTACGGATTCTCCGCCTTGTCGAAAGTAGCTCTGACATAAAACGGTAATCTTTCTTTAATATAGTCGCACATATGTAAAAGCACGTAAATAAAATGGATATTCGGTATTTCGTAATTTTCTATCTCAATATCGTTATCCACCTCGATATAACATTTGGTTATAATAATTATGCTGCAATATGATTGAACTCTGATCGTGATTGTGTTTCTGGTTGTTTAATTTTATAGAATAAGTTGGTTGATATAATTTGTACATAAAGATGTCATCTTATCAAAGAAATAAAAACAATACGAAGTTAAAAACGAAGTTGAAGTTTTATCTATGATTTACATAACAGTTCTGAAAATTACTTATTTTATACATATATATTTTAGGCGATATATCGGATAATGTTTGGTTTGCTCGAAATTTTATTGTCGACCTGATGTCCTAACGATTTCATCGCTAATTACTTCTTTGTTTTATATTCATTTTTATTCAAATATATACCATTTTTATTATTAGTCGCTATCGCTCGGTAGTAAGTACGGTCGTGGATATATTGGTTGCAACATTTTTTTTCATAGGTTTTTTTAGTATATATATTTAATATATATAATATATATATTTTATAGATAACTAATTTGCAAATGCGAACCACGATAGTGTACTATCTTTAGTCTAGACAGTATACCAATCGATCGTGATTCGCATTTGCAAAATATTAGTGCGTTTCGAAACCTATTAAAAAAAAAAGTGTCGCAACCGATATGTCCACGATTGTACATGTTTAAATGTCGCCGTCAAACTAAATATATATAAATTTAAAAGATAAATTATTTAATTGCTAAAAAAGAACGCGATGCTACAATTATAGTCTGGAATAGCTAAAAATCAAATGAATGTATATGAACATATATCACGTTGACAGGTGTTTCACTGATGCGGAAATCTCCGGCGAAAAGAAATGCGTTTCGCGTTTAAAAATCCTATCGTATTCGTTAAGCCCGACACGTGACTTCGACGCAACACGTATGTGTGTTAATTGTATGTGTGTCACATATGTCCTAATGTGTTTATCTTTTCGGAACAACGTGCGGCGATGTAATCGCCACAAAAGAAATATCTACTTTGAGTCTTGTGTATTTTATTTAGCCAAAATTCGCATTGAAGAAAAAAAGAAATCTCGTATAAAAGTCATTTATCATTTATTATTACAGAATTTATTATTACATAGATAATCAATAACGTTTAAGAAATTTCTTTGCAATCGTAATTTTTTTCTGGTCTTTCTTGGTTCTCTGCTGCATTATTGTTCGAAGCAAGAGCTCAAATTTCGCCAAAGCTTATTTTAGGCGAGCTAAAATTTACGTCCGAATTTAGAATAGAATTCTATTTATTGTTTTCTATTTTATATAATTTTATATTTGCTGTGTACAACGTTAATTAAAGATTCAGAAGATATGCTATATAGATAATATAAAATAGCTACTATAATTTATATATAATTATATATATATATATAT